AAATATTGAAGGTTATTAATTAATTACGAGGAATGTTTGCCTGGCACTTTATTTAAGCTTAATTGAAAGCCTTGAAGAGAACGAGATGGCCTATAGGAATAGTGTTTTAATGAACTGTGTAAGAAGGAATGATGTGTTGTGCAGTTATAGTGCCAGGCATGAGCTCTGACTACGTCAAATTGTTAAATCAATTTCTTCTCTTCCTCTCCCATCTTTTCTTCCCTTCTTTTTTCCCTACTACATTTTACATTTAAATATTGTCACATTCATTGTATATATTATTGTGGAGAGGGCTCTTATAAGTTGAGATAACTTGTTCCCAATCCATTTGCTTTCGGCAAAAAATATGTTTAAACTAAACTAACATATTTTATAATATGTAATAACGACGTATTTTATAATATGTAATAATGACGTAGTTTATGATATGTAATAACTTCGTATTTTATTTTTCTAATTAAAATAAATGTATATTCTTATTTTTTTATTACTAGTTATTCATGTAGTTTTATTTATTGTCGCTTAATAACAAGATCCTTAATTTAACACAGATCTCAATTATTCTCGGCATTTTTTATTGTGCTTCGGTTGTTGTGAAAGTATGTCGACGTAAAAGCTCATCAGAGCTTATATTTACTGTTTGTAATATTCGACGTGAAATAAAGTTTCTTGTATCTTGTATGAAACGTGTTGGTGAAAAGTTCACAAGACCTTTGTAACACTACAGTAGTAAACCTGCAGGCGTTTTATAGTGAACAAAGGGGTATGATTTTTGTTTACTTGGTCGTGCGCTTTGGACCGGAGATAATGCTATATATAGTGAGTACATCACGATATATACGATATCTGCTCATCACATCTAGATTGTTATATAAATCAGCTAACTTCGTCAGAAAGGGTAAGTCAGCTGATGTCGTGATGCGGCGTCCGTCGTCTGTCCATTGTCCGTTTAACTTTTCGTTAAAGGCTTTCCGGAGAATAACCTGCTGTTGAGTGATGATCAGTAATATCTTATACTTGTTCAAGGTCATATGAATTAATTTTTATGAATCCAGAACCATCCAGGAATGAATCCCGAACCATCCAGGAATTAATCTAGAACCGTCAAGTGATGAATCCCGAGCCGTCCAGTGATGAATCCTGAACCGTCCAGGGATGAACCCAGAACCGTTCAGAGATGAATTCCAAACCGTCCAGGGATGAATCCCGAACCGTCCAGTGATGAATCCCGAACCTTCCAGTGATGAGTCCCGACAACGTTTGCAACAAAAAGGACTTTAAACCATACTGAATATCACAGGAATATTTATTTAAATTCCCCCACGCTCTTAACAGCTTAGTATCATGATAATTTTAACAACTGTGTTCAGAGAATAAAGCCAAATCAAGACTTTGTGAAAAAATATGTAATACACACCGGGGACACAACAGAGCGGTTCCCCGTCTCAATGTAATGCACACCGGGACACAACAGAGCGGTTCCCCGTCTCAATGTAATACACAACGGGGACACAACAGAGTAGTTCCCCGTCTCAATGTAATACACACCGGGGACACAACAGAGCGGTTTCGCGTCTCAATGTAATACACACCGAGGACACAACAGAGCGGTTTCGCGTCTCAATGTAATACACACCGGGGACACAACAGAGCGGTTCCCCGTCGTCTCAATGTAATACACACACCGGGGACACAACAGAGCGGTTCCCGTCTCAATGTAATACACACCGGGGAGACAACAGAGCGGTTCCTCGTCTCAATGTAATACACACCGGGACACAGCAGAGTGGTTCCCCGTCTCAATGTAATACACACCGGAGACACAACAGAGCGGTTCCTCGTCCCAATGTAATACACACCGGGGACACAACAGAGCGCTCCCCGTCTCAATGTAATACACACCGGGACACAACGGAGCGGTTCCCCGTCTCAATGTAATACACACCACACACGGGTAATACACAACGGGGACACAACAGAGCGGTTCCTCGTCTCAATGTAATACACACCGGGGACACAACAGAGCGGTTCCTCGTCTCAATGTAATACACACCGGGGACACAACAGAGCGGCTCCCCGTCTCAATGTAATACACACCGGGGACACAACAGAGCGGTTCTCCGTCTCAATGTAATACACACCGGGACACAACAGAGCGGTTCCCCGTCTCAATGTAATACACACCGGGACACAACAGAGCGGTTCCCCGTCTCAATGTAATACACAACGGGGACACAACAGAGCGGTACCTCGTCTCAATGTAATACACACCGGGGACACAACAGAGCGCTACCCGTCTCAATGTAATACACACCGGGACACAACAGAGCGGTTTCGCGTCTCAATGTAATACACACCGGGGACACAACAGAGCGGTTCCTCGTCTCAATGTAATACACACCGGGGACACAACAGAGCGGTTCCCCGTCTCAATGTAATACACACCGGGGACACAACAGAGCGGTTCCTCGTCTCAATGTAATACACACCGGGACACAGCAGAGTGGTTCCCCGTCTCAATGTAATACACACCGGAGACACAACAGAGCGGTTCCTCGTCCCAATGTAATACACACCGGGGACACAACAGAGTAGTTCCCCGTCTCAATGTAATACACACCGGGACACAGCAGAGTGGTTCCCCGTCTCAATGTAATACACACCGGGACACAGCAGAGTGGTTCCCCGTCACAATGTAATACACAACGGGGACACAACAGAGCGGTTCCTCGTCTCAATGTAATACACACCGGGGACACAACAGAGCGGCTCCCCGTCTCAATGTAATACACACCGGGGACACAACAGAGCGGTTCTCCGTCTCAATGTAATACACACCGGGACACAACAGAGCGGTTCCCCGTCTCAATGTAATATACACCGGGACACAACAGAGCGGTTCCCCGTCTCAATGTAATACACAACGGGGACACAACAGAGCGGTACCTCGTCTCAATGTAATACACACCGGGGACACAACAGAGCGCTACCCGTCTCAATGTAATACACACCGGGACACAACAGAGCGGTTCCACGTCTCAATGTAATACACACCGGGGACACAACAAAGCGGTTCCCCGTCTCAATGTTATACACACCGGGACACAACAGAGCGGTTCCTCGTCTCAATGTAATACACACCGGGACACAGCAGAGTGGTTCCCCGTCTCAATGTAATACACACCGGGGACACAACAGAGCGGTTCCCGTCTCAATGTAATACACACCGGGGAGACAACAGAGCGGTTCCTCGTCTCAATGTAATACACACCGGGACACAGCAGAGCGGTTCCCCGTCTCAATGTAATACACACCGGGATACAACAGAGCGGTTCCTCGTCTCAATGTAATATACATCGGGGACACAATGAAAATTTCGGGAAAGAATTTAACTTGATCATTATTCAATGTCATATGGTCCAGAATTGTTCGAAAGCTCAGACTACAGCTATAATTTCTTGTTAAATAGTAGACAGGAAATTATCTTAACAAAGGTTACAAGAAATACGTTGACAACCATTTATGCTTTTTGGGGTCAAACTCACTCTTCCAATTAATAATCAGGACGTTCTAGTTTGTTGGTCTAATGGTGACGTGAACAGCCAGGTTCATTTTGAAGCTATGCCTACTTAGTGTAGCTGATGGCTACCTCATTGAACATCATATGGAAGGCCCGACGCTTGCCATCCAGAACAATTTGGGTTGAGTGTCTTGTCTAAGGAAACAGTCACATCGATACAAATTTCTCGGCTTCTTGACAAGGGCAGTGAGAGTCGAACCATACACCTCGGATAAGCCACCTGTGGTTATATGCACTAGATTAGTTACAGCATGTTAACAAAACGCCAGTACACCTGTACCTATTGTTAGCGCTACTATTGCAATGTTTGACCGATAACGCCCGTCCAGGTTGGTAAAAATTACCTTTTCCAATATTCAAAATTATATGTGTTAGATTTGTTGAAATATTAATCTGACTTCTTTTGAGAAACCTTCAGACAAAGCAAGTTTGTCTCAGAAAATGGTAAAGGTTTGCAGTGTTCTGAACAATTTTGACCAAATAACTTCCTACAGATTAAGAAATAGCTGTACAAGTCTTACGGGTATTCACTAGGACACAGTTAGATAGGCTGGGCAGGCTATTTCTGTTTTCGTAAGTTTTATTTTCCTAAGATTCCGGGCTGAGATAGGATGGTCAAATTTGACATGATGTCCCGAAGCTATAGAAGCACGCCGTTGTGTAGTAAATACGCTACTGTCACGATAGCATATCAGCGAACACTGGTAGGTTTTGTCAAGGAGTTCTTCCGTATATCACAATCATATATAATTACTGTAGCGAAAGTATCAGACGAAGGTTTGGTAAGAAAATACATGTAATTCTTTTCACGCGAAGGTTTATAAGCAATTTTAATTTCATTTTCATTCTTTTTTAAAAACTGGAATGATAGTTATTTTACACACACAAAAAAAGGACTGTGGGTCATTTGACAAAGTATTTTGAAAAATAACAAAATTTCCATTACCTCCCTTTACAAGTGCATTAATTGTCAATATCATGTTGACATTCTTACTCATCTGAAAATAATTGTCTAACGGATCTATATGTAAAATTAATAAACGTTTCGTTAATATTGATATAACCCAGCATCATATGTAGATAATTAATAAATAAAATTATCAAACTTTAAGAATTCTACCGTAATTGCTCAATTTGTTAATATCACAAAATTTACTTGACCATTTAAAACTAAGACGTAGATCTATTGGGTCACAGGCCACAGGTCAATTACTCAGCTGTAGATAATATAGAGATAAATCTGATTGCTGCCCTCTCAGCTGGGACAGTCTTCCCCAAATTTCCCACTGGACACTGTCGAAGACTTGGACACAGACTGGGGAGACATTAAAACGATTCTGGAACTGCCCCATCCTCAAAAAACCGCAAGCATTGGAATACCTGAACTGTAATTTAAAGTTTAAGACTGCAAGTGTTTATGATGTGTGTGCAGTGGAGTTTGGCTGCTGCAATTTTTTGTCTGCATATTTTCCTGGTCGCTGGTCAGGACTGGTGTCCGCATGAAAACCCTTCTTTAATAGCTTGGTCAGATACAGGCGGCACGTGGGGAGGGGAGGTAAGTTAAACACCCTTTTGATAAATTTTAAACTCGGTTGTTTCATTTCTTATGAAGAATACTGGTTTTGTGTAAACTTCTCATTCTCATCTACGACAGCCATTGCACTGGCGAAAATCTACGTTGGATTGTCAAAACCTTTTTAGCAAAGCATGTCAACATTTTTACACCCAAAACATATCAACTTAATGAGATTCTTGTCAGGGCATTCGACTGGAGAATCTGAAGGGTATCTTGTAAACAATATATATACAATATCTCGTATGATTCTTATTAAGAAAACATGTTTTTTTAAAGATATCTTACGTCTTACCACACTTTTTAAACAATTGCTGGAGTCAAACGATTTGGTTTGATTATAAACATATTTTAAATATATAGATGTTGATGAAAGCCATTTTAACGAAAAGTACGTCTTAATGTCCTATGTAACTTGTAGACCATAATTCGTATTAAACGAAATTAATAGTTTAGTGTGATAAAACGGAAATTAAGCAATATCAGTTTTTATAGAAAATATAACGGCCTCGATATTTATCGTCTTCGCTCCACGAAAGAGCCATAACTGTTTTTTTACCTTCCTGTATCAAACCCAGGTAAGAAATGTATAAGTATGGCCCCATGATATTGTGAATGTGTCTTATTGAATAATGTTCACACACAGCATCATGAATACCGCGTCTGTGATAAAATGTCGTTGGAGAGGCCTTTGTTATGTTGAAATAGCTAGATTTTGCCGTGTCTGAATGCTTTATTTAAACATTTAAATACGTTTACACCAAAATCATTTTTTTTCTGTCTTCCATTCATACAAATGTCTTTTTGTTTATCTTTAAGGTGTTCGACAGCTATTCCAATGTGACGGTAACGGCCGATGTATTGTTGGACACCGACATCGACGTGTTCAGTATCACAATAGCAAGCGGGGCGTCCCTGGTCTGGAGCCCTGCAGCCGAGCCGAGGGTTAGGGTACGATATATTTTGGTGTACGGATCACTCATCATCGGCTCCGAGGACTGTCCATTCACGAATTATACACATATATCATTCGTGGGTAAGTTCGTCTATGTGTTACTCTCGGTCGTTTTAATTAGGAATAACTTAATTAATTCATTGGTCTTGATTAAAATTTCTCCAGATACTCGCCTTCAAAAATGAGCATTAGAAAACAGAAACTACAAATTAAATATTCACAGATTTTATGATATTGGAAAAAACTAATGATAACTTGTTTAGGAAGTTATATGTCAATTATGAAGAAGAAAACGCCAAGGTTCAACCGAAACGTAGATGGATTGTGACACTTTGTTACATAAGAAATGGTGAACGTGTGTTTCAGGGGCCCCCGGGGCGTACTCTATACCAGATTTTGATGAAAAGTTTCTCGGTGTGGCTGCCGGAGGCACACTAGAGGTTCATGGAGAGAACAGAATTGGGTGGACCAAACTGGACAATACAATAGAAAAATGCGATAAAGGAGACTGTCTTTACTTTAATCAAAGGAACGTAAGTATGTTGTATTTCATGGGCCCAATATTTTTTTATGAAATAAACACAGCTAAAAGACTGGTGTACTCTCTAGGATTATAAAGTGTACACGTATTAAGATTAAGATTTCAGACTTTTTTTTCATTTCCGTTCACCTTGGTCCCTAAATTGAAAAAAATATATATATTTATATATATATATAAATATACTATTACCAACAGAGAGTATGTGTTGTAGTGGCGCTGCTAGTATATTGAGTTGATCGTAACGCCTCCTCCATTTGCAGGATTTGTCAAAAACAGACATCTCTAAGTATCAGCCAGGCCTGATTGTCACTGTGCTGGACGAGACCACTGGTTTACCAATCAAATACACCCATATTCGACTCGACTCGAACAAACAGAACAAGATCACATCTAATGTGAACCTACTCAAGACTTTCATGAATGGTAAGTTCAAATTTTTCTCGTATTCTGTAACTTCACTTTTTCTAAAAAAAGGTAATACATACTTGCAGAAGATACGGATATGCCTCTAAACCAGCTTGTCTCTGTTTTTTTTTTTTTTTTTCAAATTAGTGTTTCCAGACTATAAACCGCACCCGAGTATAAGCCCCAGGGCTGTTTTTTAGAGATTTTTTTCCGACTTGATCCACATTATGTATACTTTGTGGGAGCGTAACATGTTACAGCAACCAAAATTATTCGGATGCGAGGTCACGCAAGTCAATAGTGCATGTGATACGCCTCGACGAAACCGCCGTTACGAAATACATAACAGTCCGGAACCGATGTTCAGACGATACGCTTCATATATATATTTTTCATTTTGCCGGTTTTTTCGTTAAGATACAAGTCGCACCGCCGAGGCTTATAATCCGGAAAATACGGTACATGAAAATTAGATTACATGCATCATTGAAAAATTGAAGCCCTAAATTGACTATTTTAACTGTTGATCGAGGTGGAACTGAATATCTTTCCTTGTTTAAATTTTCATTAGATGTCCAAGATGGACGAGTTGTTGCTATGGAGGTACAAAGATATCTGCCCGGAACTGACATGTCTTTAATAGAAGCTGCTGGTCTGTTTGACTACATAGAGACACTTGCAGATTTAGCTGTAACGAATCAAATGGATATACGCAATGTGGAGAAGTATGACGCTTATTCACTGGTGTTTGTGAAAGGTAAGAACAACAAAAAAGACTATACATAAAACACAGGACAGAGGTTAAGGCTGAAATACTGATGGAAATTCCGAATTCTCTACAATTACTTACTGTAGATGTTCATTTTTCAGTGGTATTCATATTTTAGTGCTTTTCGCGGTGAATATAATTCATGAGAATATATTGGATTTTTTAATGTTATTGAGCAATCTCTGTGGATGTGATATACTTCAAAATCGTGGTAGTTTGAAGTGATAATGCCCTGAAGTTGATCGTGCATGTCCGGTACATTTTACATCTATTTTGACGTATTTTAATGTTTCCGTGTAATGTATTGATTAAGAATGTGTAATTGTCAGTGTCCGAGAAAAGTTAAGCATCTTACACTGAAGCACTAACACACCAATTCAACGTTAGTGTCCAAGCAAAGATAAGAATTAAGTACTGTTTAATGGTAACCACAGTCTGGAAACAAAAATTACAATGATTGATAATTTCGACTATAAATACTTAGTAATTATAGAATGTACAATTTTTGGTGGAATCTCGTCGCAACTGTTTCTATTGTCTAATTTTATGTCACACTTGTGATATTTGCAGGCAATATCAACCAAAAGCAGGAAAGACTGACAAAACAAACAAGTCCAGCGACAGACCAGGCTCTCGACTCTGTCAGTGTCATCGTAGAAAATGGATACTTTTTCAAGGCCCACAGTCATGTTGATGGTTCTGATATCAAAAACAGCTACGTAAATGTGGTGTCGGCTAATTTCAGTCTTGTGGAGTTTGTTATTGATCTACTGGATGATGTGTCACTGTGGAGGGCAGGTTCGTCATCACGGAATTAATCAAACCCCTCTTTAACTTAGAGATAAATACATTTTATTATTTTTACTGGGTGAAATAAAAAAAAATTAAATATCTATATTTTTTCAGTAAATGTTATCCTTTCAAACTATAATACCTGCTTGCTGAATCAGGAAATATTTTCACATACATGTACGGACTTAGCTATAAATATATATCTAAGTTTGTGGTGCATGAAATAATAAGAGTTGCTTTTATTCCTACACCAGACAATAGAGATACGACAGACAGACAACAAAAGATGTCAGAATGAATACTACCACCAGAAGTGGAGGCGGATAAACTCAAGCTATTGTCAAACACACTTCTAAATTATCAAAATTAGGATTGCTCTTTGTTTCATATTAATTATTTCAATTTTTTTCGAACTAGCAATATTCCATTAATAGATCTGAGTCTTTTAAATGTTTTTGATTTATGTTACAGGAGATGTTGTTGTTGTAACCTCTACTGACTTCGACTGGACACAAGCGGAATATGCTTACGTTATAGATTGTCCCAATTGTCTTCCAAACCAAATCAAAGTGGAAAGTATGTGTGTTTGCATTCATAGACGAAAGTAAAGTTATTTTTCACTGGTTCGTGGCAACAAAAACTACATATCATGTTTTAAATTAACTTTATTTTGCAACAGGTACCAAATTTTATTTTATTTGACAATTAAAATTCAATGTTTTTATTCCTTCGCAGATATTAAATCACCTATCACATTTTAAAGAAGTAAAATTCTATACTGTAAAAAGTCTTAATTTTGGTGGATTTTTTTTCTTTCTTGTTTTCGTTTGTCCACAAACAGATTAGTATAAGTAACTTTATTGAACTTTATTTATCCATAAAATCAAGTGTCCATGCAAAATAGTGAAAAGCAGTGAATTGTTTGGAAAACCACGAAAATTGAGTCCCATGAAAACTTCTGATATTATAGTATCATAACAGGTTTTATTTGTAATGGTGTCCCAGATAAAAATATAAAAGGGTTACAGTTGTTACGGGAGATATTTAAAGTGGTTGCCATGGATATGTGATGCCTGATAATATACATTATATCCTGCTTGCTATCACAGTGATTGCAGAATATACACATTATGGCGAAGTTTACATGAACACAGACATGAGGGCGGAAGTCGCTCTCCTCACCAGAAACATTGTCTTTGAAGGATTTGACAACGACGGCGGTAACGACAACACATTTGGAGGTCATCTGAAGGTAAGAGAAATTGAACTTTTGTGCTAAATTAATGATAAGGATGTCGTCTTATATGTAGTTATATTGTTTTTGAGATTCAATTTTACAAAAAAAAAATTAAAATATGAAAGCCAATGATTCAAGTATAATCTTGAATCATTGGCTTTCGTATTTTGCACTGTTAAGTCAAAATTTTTTTTTTTTATTTGGGGTGGGGGGATTTATTTTCTCTAAAATTGTAGATGTTTGATTTCTTTATTTGGAGTCAATAATTCAGAAATCAATAAACATTTCAGATAAACAAATGCAGTTTAAAGTATCAGAGGGTTTTATGGAGTATCCACAATATTTGGACTAAATGGAATAACCATTACAGAAAAACGAAGATTACAGAATAGCACATATATCTATGCATGGCATCATCACCAAAACCAGTCAACAAAAACATGCAAGCTACATAAATTTTCATTAATGAAATGAGAGTCAGCCTTTTGTAAATAATATGTTTGTCAGAAATCATCTATGCTGATTATCCCCCTTGGCAGTTTCTGCAATTTCCGAGCAAATTAATTTTTTTCACTTAGGTTAAAAGACTGATTGTCACAACTCTGATGGAAATATTAAAAAAAGGTTAAAAATGTCAAATTTTTGTTTCGTTTATTGATATTTTGACAAATGACACTGATTTAAAATGATGTTCGTTTCGCCTCAACTTTTTATGGTTTTACAAAAGTATACGTTTACAGTGGCCCTGATTTTGTGTAGAAATAATCTACACGAAGCAGTCCATTACTATTCAGTCAATGCTAATTTTTAGCCATTTCTTGTTTAATGGACATCTGAATTTGTGGATTAGGATTTACCACCAATGCAATGAAAATAAAAATCCCACGAAAATTATTGATTTTATAGTAACTGTTATAAACCTGAGAAGTGGAATGTGTCTTACATTACAGAGTCTAGAAATTATCTAGTACATTGTACTTTCAATGTACAATATAACAATGTAGACCTTGAGAGTTCTACCTAAATGATGTTAAGTCTATGACAGGAGTGTATAATTGTATTCAATCAATATAAAATGTTAATTATATTAGTATTACATAATGTATTTTTGTGATTACAAAGATAATTTTGAAAATGAAAATTTGAAATTTTAATTGACAGAAGTATTTAATTGTAAATCCGATTTATTTTTTCCAGTTCCTGAAGGACTTTGAGAATGTACACATCGAGGGAGCTGAATTTTTTCATATGGGTCATAAAAACTTTCCTGGTGAGTTTATTTATGTCAGTGAAGAATTTATTTCTACATGTCTACAATGTAATTGTGTTGTTTTTTGTTTTTTGTTTGTTTTTGTTTTTGTAAAATTTAATGTACAGTTGGTCTATTTCAACATTTGTATATGTCAAATATACATAAAAATATGAATTGAAGACTTTTGTAATGTAAGGTGTATATATTAGTATAGAAAAATCTTATTTGACCTTGTTACTTAATTTGAAGGTCGTTATCCCATAAATTTCCACATGTGTGAGGATGTGGACACAGGGACCAATCCACCATACATACGCTCCAATTCAATCCATCATAACTACGCTCGGTGTGTCACGATCCGCGGTACAAATGGGGTCAAGGTCAGTATAAAAACATTCAAGGTCAATAAATTTGAGTTAAATGTACTTTCTTTACCCTCAGTTGGGTCTAGGAAGCAAAGAGAACTTGATCATTTGTCGCAAATTTTCTCTTCAAAATAAAATGTCTTTTTGCCCCCCTTTTTTACCAGGTGGAGGACAATGTCTGCTTTGATTGTTATGGACACGCCTACTTTCTGGAGGATGGTGGTGAAAAGAGGACTGTGTTTGATGGCAATCTCGGGTTTGGTCAGCGTTCAACATCAACCCTTGTGCAAACAGATATGTATGTGTAATGAAGTTAACAGTATAATTTTTACATGTATTTGTGATAAATAAATCAGATTAATTTTCTTCCTTGCTCACTTTATTGCTATTTTGATATAAATCTTGTTTTTTACTTTTCAGAAATCCTGTCGCTTTCTTCATCTCTAACCCACAGACCTACCTCCGTAACAATGTCGCCGCTGGTGGCTGGGTAAGTGCATTCTTGTATTGAGAATTACAAGGGAATTCCCTTAAAATTAATGTCTGTTGCTATAATATATATTGTTTACTCTAAATTTTAAAGACAATTCACCTAAGGTTTATAGTGTTTGTTTATTTCAAATATCTATTAAGGCAGTAATCTTCCTGAAGGATTTATCTAGAAGTTAAATTTGAGTTATGTCCCTTTGGTATGTTCTCTTATTGATTCAGAATGCTAAAAATTATGTGAACAGTTGTTTTGTTGATAATGCAAACGCAGCTTTCCGAATTTCGTATCATACATTTTTTATAATAATACTGCACAGCATTGTAATAACAGTGATATGGATACTGAAGATTTTGTCACTGTCGTTCAATGGCTATGTGTCAGCAGTTCTTGTGCTTACCTTTCAATTGTAGGTGTTGCACATTTTCGGTATACTTTTATTACTAATGCATCAGTTAATGTCATTGTAGGATATTAATTTATTTGCTTAAAATTCTTTATTTCGTATTTTTCTAGAGGGCCGGGTTCTGGTTTGTGTTCCCCAATGAGCCCATTGGAGAGTCTACAGGATTAGGTTTCATGGCTGTAGATGAGGCCAAACATACAGCTATTTATGAGTTCTATAATAACGTGGCTCATTCTTATAACCAAGTAAGTATCACAAGTACGACAAAATATTGAACACAACTTCTACAATATTATGACAAAAGGCAGGAAGAGAAGACTGTGAAAAGAAAAACTGAAAAAGTGCTCCTCCATCCAAAAAAACAAAAACAAAAACAAAAAAACAAAAAAACAAAGAGCCAAAGAGCCAAAGAAATGAAACATCACTTAATGTAAAAACACTATCAGATCCTGATCTGGAAAATGCTTTAAATATCCAGTTAACAATTGATCGTGTCAAGACTTTTGATGATATAGTTCATACTTCGTTTCAACTTTTGTAGGCTGGCTTGCTTATCGACTCCATATTGAAACCAGATGGAAAAACATCGGGAAACAACAATTATGAACCATGGAATGACCCATTTAACTCCCGATCTGGTGCTAAGGAAGTGAAATTATTACGTTTCACAGGTATGGCATACACAGGATAGTACCTGAGTTTCCATTTGTTTGATGATTTAGGAAATGAGTGTGAGAATTTTTAATTACGTTTGCTGAAATGAAGAATTTTTAACAAGTTTGATGAATCACAACTTTGTTATGTGATTTCTTACAGACTCTCTCCTGTTATTAGATACAATTTAATATTTCAGAGTGGTTGAAATATCTATTGATACTTTTCCAGCAAGATTCAAACTATATACATATAAGCAAGTTTGGCCGGTAAAAACAAATTTAACCAAAGAAAAATTCCTTATATGGCTAGCTTGAAAGGCAGATTTTGGATTGTTGGATGGTATTGAGTTCATCGTTCTTCTCATTGACTGGAAGTCATCACTAAAGACTGAACAAATTTCTACGAGACCACCTAGATGTATACTGAGTGTGTCGGTCAGTCATATTTGCTGAAATGCCAAACCTGTTAGATAAATGAATTGCTCATTCCGTCACATTTCTTTAATAAAGAAAATTCTAGCACTTTCAAAATTAGTAAATTAGCTTGATGATAAGCTAGTGCAATCATGATATAACACAATATTTTCAGCACAAAAGCAGTTTAAATTAGATCAATGCTAACAAAATATATATGTACTGTATATGTGTGGTGGTAATCGTTCCAACATGAACTATAAATTCTTTGTCAAGGGAAATAACACTAAGATACCATGTAGGATAATGTTGTTTGGGTTGTTTTATCACCTGTCTGCAAGAGAATATACAGGGCATGGTGAACTTAATGCAAGGCAATGAGACAGAAAAGTATTTGTAAAAAAATTGATTGACTTGCAATTGACATGGGTGGTCTTATCATCAGGCATGGGGTTATTGATGCAAGAAAATCTGATAGTTTATTAACAGTAATAGTTGCAAGAATTGGCGTCTCTGAATAGTTTGTGTTACATCTGATACAGGGTACAAAAACCGCTTGTGGAATGCTTATATCAGTGGAGGTTATATCACACTGGAGGAGAGTTCGTAAGTATGATAGGATCAATGACATACTGGAAAAATTCAATGACATCTCAATAACTTAAACATTAGGAAGAAATATAGTAGCAGAGGGAGTGAGTACAGCCAAGGGGAATAGTAATTTGACTCCTAGTAGAGGGAGGGAGTACAGTCGGGGAATAGCAAGATGACTTCTAGCAAAGGGAGTGAGTACAGCCAAGGGGAATAGTAATCTGACTCCTAGCAGAGGGAGGGAGAGCAGTCAGGGAATAGCAAGCTGACTTCTAGTAGAGGGAGTGAGTACAGCAAAGGGGAATAGTAATCTGACTCCTAGCAGAGGGAGGGAGTACAGTCAGGGAATAGCAAACTGACTTCTAGCAGAGGGAGGGAGTACAGTCAGGGAATAGAAAGCTGACTCCTAGCAGAGGGAGGGAGTTAAATGAGTGAATAGAAAGATGACTCCTAACACAGGGACTGAGTACAGTCAGGGAATAGAAAGATGGCTCCTAACACAGGGACTGAGTACAGTCAGGGAATAGAAAGATGGCTCCTAACACAGGGAGTGAGTACAGTCAGGGAATAGAAAGATGGCTCCTAACACAGGGAGTGAGTACAGTCAGGGAATAGAAAGATGGCTCCTAACACAGGGACTGAGTACAGTCAGGGAATAGAAAGATGGCTCCTAACACAGGGAGTGAGTACAGTCAGGGAATAGAAAGATGACTCCTAACACAGGGACTGAGTACAGTCAGGGAATAGAAAGATGGCTCCTAACACAGGGACTGAGTACAGTTGGGAATAGAAAGATGGCTCCTAACACAGGGAGTGAGTACAGTTGGGAATAGCAAGAAAACTCCTATCAGAGGGAGGGAGAACAGTCAGGGAATAGAAATCTGACTCCTAGCAGAGGGAGGGAGTACAGTCAGGGAATAGCAAGATGACTCCTAGCAGAGGGAGGTAGTACAGTCTGGGAATAGAAAGCTGACTCCTTGCAGAGCAGGGAGAAAATATCAAGAAATTACTTAATATTGCTTGGGAGAACTTGTAAAATGTATATTATGATAGATATTGTTACTGAGCAACATTAGATTAAGAGATTTACGTTTTTATTTTTAGGTTTTCTGATTCATCTCAAGGTGTTTACTTTGAAAGGTAAGATCTATTGTCATCAATTTACAGTACTTGGGGAATATTGGTCATATTGATATGGTTAGAGAAGAACCAACACACAGAGGCGTAGCAATAATGTATGCTTGTATGCTTAAACATACACTCGAATTCCATTGAGATATATTTGCCCTACTTTTTTAACCTTACTGCGCCCCTAGACCCCCTTAACCGGGGCTTCGCCCTTGGATCCGCTCTTGAAAGCATACACTGTTAAAAATGTTTTGCTACGCCACTGACACATGTGTTACTTAGGTAGTTATTGGTCGTATTGCCTAAAATGTCTTTTAAAAGAGTCATATTACTTTTTTTATCTTTTATGCATTATTGGTGATTTTCAATACAGGTCAAGACATATTTTTAATTTCAAATTCATATTTAGTGAGAATTTCTACACGATTTGTTTTAGTCACAGACATGTGGTACTCTTTAAAAAAGCAGTACCATCTTGTATTGTACAATGTCATTGTGCTGATCCTTTTTTTGTCTATATAGAAGATGCAATGTTGTATACAAGTCTCACGCCCAACTCACGAGACAAAAGCTCATAATCCATAAATTTTAGCATTATTCACAGGGACGTTTCGAGTCCCTGTCACATTACAGGTCTAGTTAAAGGTTTACGTCAGATATGGATATCTATATATTTTTCTCTTTATGGAATTTTTTTATTATTTTCAATCTGTTTTTTTTTTTTATTTTTTTGATATGGATGTATATAACTAATTTTATCCTCGTATAAGCCAGAATGTAGAAGCTGAGTTTTAAAGTTTGAGGAGGCATTGCATTTGAACTAATTTAAGCTTACTATATTTAAAACTGAATGAAGGTGGGGGGTTTATTTGTGGGCAGGGTCATTTTTGTGATAAATACAGCATGTACTACATAATATATACATCAGTGTTAATTATCAATGTGGATTACAGGGGATCATATCAATGGAAGTCGGTAGCAAGGAGCGTATTTCTCGGAGATAGTCTTAATGTCGGTGAACCATCTCCGGGGTTCAACAGATCACGACCGATCGATAATGACTTGTAAGTGATTGTCAATAGTTATATCTATATATATATAGATCTGTAACTTAAATATTTGGTGATCTACATCTAATTTGATATCTGTGTGCAACATCTTTATCTTGAGTAAAAACTAGAATGAATTTCATTGAAATCATTTTATTGGTGAATGAACAAATTTGATAAACTAAACCTGGATTTTTGTCGGCTTTGAAATCATTTGTAAAATTTTGAAATAAAATAATAACATGTAATCTATATAATATTTAGTATGATAATTATCATGGAAATTACAGTTTTGTTTTAGGACTAAACACCCAATCCTATAAATAAGATTTTTTTGTTTCAAAAGATTACAGAAACTATCGGCATTTTTGCCTGAACGATTTGATGAGAAAGACCAAAATGCTATTTAAAGAGTTGCCTTTTAAATGCTTAGTATTACTTATCTTCCATTTCTTCCCTTTTTTCTCAATAGTTTGATTTCACCTGAGAAATAACCAGTATTGTAACGTATCGTTGCCTTTTTTTGATGAGAAAAATTTAACTGGTATATTTTGAATCATCTTTATCTAAAATCATTTCAGAGACTTTTATGAACTGCACAGGTCATGATTCACTTTGACATCAGAAAAGAATTACTTGAGTTCTTCTATATAACGTGTTTAGCTAGAAGTTTACTGCAGTACTTGGCCCTTGGTTAAGACATAATTTGTTAAAATGTAATAGTATATTTAGTTGATAAACAAAAATACTCATTTCTCAATAAATTCAATAAAACATACTTTTTACTTAAAAGAAAGTCCTTTTATTGAATGATCTAGGTTTGAGCAATGAAATTTTTTTATCAAAAATATTTCTTTTTATGAATTTGGTAAATTGTTGTTCACAGGAACTCAAATGTCCAAGGATTTGTCTTCAACGAGGGCCCTATAAAACTTCGTGAGTCCTGGTTTGGTGATTTTGGTGATTTTGAAGACAATACTGACTACAAGTCCATGGGTATTGGATTTCAGCCTCGTGATAATGGTGATATCTCCCCCAGGAGCACAACGGAGGAAGTCCTTTTTGGATATGATGACCCTGTAATTTAAATATTTTTTGTGAATATATATCATATAGCGGAATATTTTCATGGGTCAAAATTTTTGTGAATTTCATTAAACAGGAACGAATGATATTTAAACAACGTTTTGCGACAGAAGGACATCCGATTCTCTTGGCTTTCATTATTTCATGGATGAAATTTCTGTGCTGATGGTAATGTACCACCAAATGGTGAAAATATTCTCCCTGTGAAAAATTGTAATATAACGGTATTATGATTTACTACATCAATTGCTTATAAAGATTTTATGCATGAAAAAAATTTGCTTTAGATTTCGAAATGTGTACGTAGATTATTTTCAGGAGTTAAGATGTTGATAACGCTACCTTTTGTAGTATGGCTTGCGTGTGTTTGACGGGAATGCTTCCACACTTGGATATACTGACACTGATACAGACCTTGTGTCTGCCTTCATTGATAAGGATGGAACGCTGACCACACAGTCTGGAAACTCAGTTGTCAAGCCCCTTCCCTTCCACCTCACAGACTCCTGTATCACCAATGACCGTTGGGGACTCAGTGTCTGTCCCTACAATTATGCACAGGTGAAAATTTGTCTCCAAACTGCAGATCCAGAAAGAGTTAAAATCCAGTCACTCCATTTCTAACTACATGTATATATATAAGTAATATACAGCGATTTGTTTGCTTATGTTATTTTCATCCTCCAATCAAATTATATCATCATTCATTAAGCAGTTCTACTTAAAAGCTAATAATAACATATCTATCATCTCTACTTGAATAAAACTTTTCCCATGTAGGTCACTCTGAAATTCATTTTGACATTTAACCTTAATTGAAGAAAAAAATTAATTTTTGTGTAGAATTTCACATTCATTTAGGGAATGTAATTCAATGGCTTGTTTTATATATACATGTAATATACAAAAGGTCCAAATACTGCTGTGGTATATTGCAATTTCAAAGAAAATTAGATTTGAATGCCATGAGAATCTAAACAACAGCTCTTCAGTGTTCATAGGATTATATTCAACTTAATATGTTATGAAGAGTGGAATGAGGACGGCCATTATTGTTTGCGTTTTAGCTGATGTTGAGCTACTCCGGGAGTGCTGTGGCCACAATGACGAGAGATGACGATCCATCCTTGTCTTATTCTGATGATGGAAGCAACAATGCCCGATTCCTTGTCATGAGAGGCTATGTAACCAGTTACATTCTTAATTTTGATGCTCCAATGCCGAAGACCTTCACCATCAAAACGGCTGCCATAGACAAGTACATTGTTTACTCTGATATAACATAGGTTTTTGTTGGGTTTACAGTAACGGGTTTCACAGAAATATGTATGAAATCGACACTAGAGATTGATTGGTGAATTAAGTAATAAAAAATCTACTATCATTAAGATATTAAGTATATTTTATGAAGAGTTTTCAAGTTGAGAAAATATTTCTAATTGCACAGTGCAGGAAATATAATTAGCATTTTATAGTTATTTTACAATTGGCCCATTACAGAACAATGGAATAGTATTTTGTCAGTAAAACAAGGACTAAATGATCTTTGATGATTGCCTTCAGTGCTGGAGGAGTGAGGATAGGTGTCTGTATCCCAAGAAATGCAAACCTGGAGCTAAAAATCAACAAACCAAAGAAAGCGAACAAGATAAAGAAGTGGCAAAGTGTGTCTACCCTACAGGAGGTTGATGATGACACAGTGGGGGCTAAATATTACCTTGACACAACTGTCGGGTAGGTATAGAAAGCGCTGTTATACAAGCTTATTCCTTCACTAGACCTTCCTCTTTCATTTACATACTTCCGGTGAAATACTTACAATTCCTGAATTTATAAATCATGGCCATCAGATGCAATGGTACCACACTCACCTTGCATCTAAATGTTCAGGGTTTGATTCCCTAAGCTGATATAAGAATGTATTAAGGTCACCTGCCCAGCCACATGGGTTTCCCATGGGTACCCCAGCTTCCTTCCACTGTAACTGTCCTCCTGACTTTCCATTTGGGCAAACGAGAGTGATTTATATAAGTTGATGGCTTGTTTTATACTGATTGTCAAATAAAGTTAATGATTTTAATCAAGCATACATCGGTAGGTTGCATACATGCTTTGGTTCCCCTACTGGGAACCAGAGAGGACTACTGTTTTGTGTTCTGTCCCACTGTCCTTCCATCCTATATTGTCCAGGGTCTTTTTCCTACACTAAACTCATTGGAACTTCATAGTTGAGGTATGGGTTCACCTTTGTGAGGCAGTGTCTCGTGTATCAAAAGAAGGTCACTCTGACCTTTGACCTATATAAAAGAACTACGTACTATACAACCAGTTAGTTTTGCGGGAATGCTACCTTTCCTTGTCTTACAGTACATTAGCATGATAGTGAAAACATAATCAATGAAATAAAGAGGTAATTAATATGTGTGTCTCATCATCTTTTACATCCAGATCACGAAATATGAACTTTATTAATTACAATTTGACCCTGGAAAACTACCAGTTTTATAGGTAAGAGAGATTTGGATATTTATAAAAAAAGTTAATTATATATAAATTATTTCCATTTATTTAACAGCTGTTGAGTGCATAATTCAGCAAGTTGTTAATGTACTCAGTGTTGTTGTCATAAGAAAATAAATAAATTTGCATCTACAGTTAAATATAGTTTTACCATTTGGGTTTATAGCATTGTGTTCTTCAAGCTGTTCCACAATCAGAATATTGACGAGGATCAAACAACAGACTGCCCTAAAGGAGTGTGTACTACCGCTGTTGTTAAGATCAAGAGAGGAGATTTATCTGACTCTGACTGCACTGCCCGTGCCTACGCTGTGTACAACCGTACCATTGACTTCCCTCCAGTACGTTGACATCTTAGATGGAATAATAAAAGAAAAAAATTTTGGATAGACATACAGAAATGAGATAAAATATTTTCTCGTAATTTTACCGAAGAGTAGAAGGGAAAGAAAGGTGTTTAAATAAGTGTCTTTTTGTAGAACAATCTCTTATAACTGATAAAAATAAGTTAATAATAAAAACCAAGCATTTATCATTTATTTTGAATTCCATCAATTTTGGCAAAAATAAATCACAGCATGATAGATCTGTCTAGAATTTATCACTTTCATCTGAAAATTATTTGGCGACAGGTGTGTTGTTTGTTAGAATCATCTCAAGCTTTACTTTCTTCTTTATCAGAGAGCTTGATATGGCAGCAAATCTATTTTATAAAATTCATTTCTTTTTCTTTTCTTGAAAGTTTATACTAGAAAAAGATATTTTTACTTAAAATAATTGATAGCTCACTAGGTTACTGAGAAATTGTTCATTTTTGTAAGGGTTTTATTTTCTTACGTTTTGTGGATAGTCTTAAGTCATTGAAATGTAGAAATTAGTCTATGTAGATCTATGGAGCTTCATTTATGGGTGAAATCATACGACCATAAAACAGTAAATTAAAAAAAATCCATAAAAATTGCGCTCCAAGAAAACATTAAATTTCACAATAACTTGGAGTCCGTCTTCAATCTTGAGGTGCAGGGTTGGAATCTTTCTTTTCAAAACATGGTTTTGTTTAGCAGTCTTCCATCTCCAGTTACTGACATGTCATCACTGATGTTTTATAAAACCAAACTATCATCTTTATGTCCATATAACAGCCACAGTTATGCTTGCAGAAATTAGAATCATGAATGGCAAAGTACACAACAATTTTAGTTTTACAAATTGAAAATATTTTTATTATTCAGTTAATGAAAAGCATTTCTGTTTAATTTAGCTGTAAAACAATGTTAAATTCAATCTTTTCCTCTGATACTAACTTTTTTTATATCCTATTTCAGCCAGCCAGCTCCACTTTTGCACCCTTCCCCTTGGACCGGGTAACGCCACCAGAGGTAAGTCACTTTGTGATGGTTCTCTCTGGAATATTAGCAGGCTTTTTAAGTATATATAGAACACCATTTCCAAAGGTTTGACTGTGTATATAGAACACCATTTCCAAAGGTTTGACTGTGTATATAGAACACCATTTCCAAAATCTTGATTGTGTATATAGAACACCATTTCCAAAGGTTTGACTGTGTATCTAGAACACCATTTCCAAAGGTTTGACTGTGTATATAGAACACCATTTCCAAAGGTTTGACTGGTTTGACTGTGTATATAGAACACCATTTCCAAAGGTTTGATTGTGTATATAGAACACCATTTCCAAAGGTTTGACTGTGTATATAGAACACCATTTCCAAAGGTTTGACTGTGTATATAGAACACCATTTCCAAAGGTTTGACTGTGTATATAGAACACCATTTCCAAAGGTTTGACTGTGTATATAGAACACCATTTCCAAAGGTTTGACTGTGTATATAGAACACCATTTCCAAAATCTTGATTGTGTATATAGAACACCATTTCCAAAGGTTTGACTGTGTATATAGAACACCATTTCCAAAGGTTTGACTGTGTATATAGAACACCATTTCCAAAATCTTGATCGTGTATCTAGAACACCATTTCCAATATGTTGATTGTTTATCTAGAGCATCATTTCCAAAGGTTTGATAAGTCCTATCACTAGGAGATCTTCCATTTTTTATCTTTTAAATCCTAGTTGTACAGAATTTATACCAAACATTGCACAGAGCATTACAGATTTTGACTTGTATTTCAAACAAAACTGGAATTTTTGACTTTGGATAAAAGATAGTGACACTTGGTGTGAGAATAGCATTAAAATTTTAAATCTTTTAAGACTGCAGATGAAAAAGAGGTGAATAAATTTGGAATAGAGAATGAATTGATGCCGGAAATTTAACTTTGAGTATACGAGAGAGCTGGACTTCCTTTGAATTTAAACATAAATATGAAAATGATTATTCATGATTGATGAAGTTTGAATGAGCAATGCAGGCCTACTGGTCCTTTTCCTTCAGCCAGGGTATAAAGACACCAGATATGAAATAATTACTGTTTCCTTTCGTAGGTATGGGGAGCTGGCCCGACTAGACATGGGATGTTCGACATCATAGGTGATGTTTTTGACTGAAGATTTTACAGGGAAACAGCCGGACTGATTTCTGACATAACGTTGTATCACTGAATTTCACTTTCGTTTGTACCTTTGTTAAAAAATATATTCTTTCAATTTACATACTGGACTCTTTGTTCACTGTTTTATCACCTGCTTAAGTCAAAATGGCAAAAAAGATTATTTGATATCTAGTCCCAAATGTTTTAGATTTAATCATCAACACAGCTGAAAAGAACACACATTGATGTCCTAATAAATTAAATGTACAGTTGAAATTCATTTATGTTGAAAATCTCCGATTGGATGTAATATTACTAATTTATGATATTACAGTAATGCCAATTTCTAACATAAATTATGATACTGAAGCACATGTAACTACACATCTAAATTTTTGCTCCCTTGCCTCCTAGGCTTCAAAATTTAGGCCCTAAACACCATTTACACAACCTAGACGGTTAAGTTGGATAGCACCTTTAAGTATAAATATAGGGTTAGATACAGTAGAGCTAAACTATGAATTTAAACTGCTGTTACGTTTTTTGTTTTTGTACAGTTTCATAAGTTAGGAATTACAACTAAACAAACTTCATCAAAATACTTTTAATTTTTCACAGTTCATACACTCATGAAAATTTGTTTATTTCATCGGTGAGATTCAGAGTCATGGCAGTTCTACCATTGTCAATATTACTTAATAGAACACATCAAAGTTCATCATTCTGTAGCATATATTTGCACACAATATATTCTTCCTCTTAAAAATGACACATAGATTATAAAATTTGGTTTGATGTATGTGAAACATTGTTTTAAGAAATGATGCCAAGAATCTATAGGTAACAGGTTTCAAATGAGTAATTCCCCTTCTCATATCAGAGAGATGGCCATTGAAGATGTACAAATATAAAGACACAATGATCGTAAATCATTAACAATGTATTTAAGACATAACAAGAATAACCAAGTGATCTCAACACCCACGAACATATTATCTTTACTGGTCAATGTAGTCGGGACCTGATAGGATGTAGAAGATGAAATCTGATTATCTGTGTTAATCTATCGCGACAAAACAAAAGTATCTTGAACAGTGTCCCATGATCTGTGTCATCTTTTTAGTGAATAATTAAAGGAAAGCTATTAGCTTCTGAAGACTAAAAGAGAAGATAAAAAATTGTTTATAATAAATTATGCAAATGATAAACATTTACTGAACAAAACAAGACCGGTCACAGGATACAATTCAACATACTGTTAAGCTTTACTATGGGAGTCCTACACAGGTAGATTAGTCAGAAGAGGCCTCCATAACCACAGACGAAGATTCGAGGTGTACGGTTTGACGCTCCTCTCTCGTGACTATATGTGTCTTTCCCAGAGCTCAGTAATAAACAGCCTGTGAGCAAGACACTTTCTAGTTATATAACTGCTCTGGATTGCATGCAACAGGTGTCCCATATGTTGTTCAGTGTGATAACCACCACCTACTCAAATTCACAAGGACACACTTCCTCACAATGACTGGCTGATCATGGGGTGATAAATCCATGAAACAAACAAAAATCAGGTTTTTAAATAAGAGCCACTATTTTTTGTATCAAGAGGTGAAAAAATCATGCAGTATCGTCACAAATAACGGAAACATGCGTATATTATATATATATATAGATTCATCCAGTATTTCTTGAAAAATACTTACATAACAAACATCACCTTTCTAATACTCTATAGAAGTCTGTCAGCCATTTTGTTTTTCTCAATCAGTCTCTGAATTAAACTGGCAGAACTAAGAAGCGTGGGAAATCTGCACGGATGATTGGAGAATGACCACCTCGGTAAAGAATTAGTGATTAAAATATCTTAGGATTGGAGGGAATAGACAAAAGGATAACTTGAACAGTAATCTGTCTGATGATGGTAGACTAAATATATATTTTAGAAATATCATGTTTGACTGTTTTTTATAATATGATGTTGTTGTGTAATCCCTTTAATGCTATAGGCTGTAGCTTCAGTGTTCAATATTTCCTATTTAGTTAAATCATAAAAAACATAATTCATAACCATGGTATATATATATATATAATTTCTACATTCACTAATTAATCAATATAGATGTGTTTTTGTGGACGGAGCAGAACCCTAGTATTAAAACACACATAAAATTACCATTATGATATTAAAAATCAATTAAAAATAATTTTACTACAGGAAAAATACAAATGTACATAGCAATACTATAGGATAACTAAATCACTTGTAACTTTCAAATAGTAGAGTTTTTTTTAACTTTTAAATGTTTTTTTTTAAATTTTAACAAAGAAAAAAATAAAAAATAAAAAAATGAATTCAATGTAATATAAGAATAAGTAAAAACAGTTTACAAAGTCATATATTTATAAAATTTAGAAGAAGAATTTACAATTTGTCATTCACTAATGATAAAACTGCTACCCAGTATCACAATGTTACTTCTCTGCATTTGTAGCATTGCTACATATACAGAACCAAGTGAAAAATATTTCTCAAAGCTAACTGAAGAAAACGTTCATTCTAAGTTGTGTAGCTCACATTTACTTAAACAAAAACAAAACAATAAAATAACGCAATCAGCGACAAATTTTGATTATTAAACTTAAATCTCAAAATGTATTATCTAAAGTCATGCATTTTAATTTAGTACTAAATATGGAGACGAAATATAAACAGGCTTTACAATGAACTATATTGCATCAAAAGATCAGCCCTATACAGAGCTTCATCAAACATACTACAAACACAGTCAACAATCATACTCAACATAACGTACTATAAAACAAAATTTTCTTTTTTTAAGAAATCATGGTTTTCATTCTTATGACGAAACAAACATATCTGTCCAGAAGTTATTTATACACAACCGTTTTAATTAACCTGTCATAGTTAATTCATGTTTACTGTCAACATTGTCTGTCAACATTGTACTGTCAACAATGTAACATTAATATTAAATTGTACTATTTCTTCAACCATGATAGGTTAGAAGATTGAACTCATTTGCCTTTTACATACAATACATTCCCTTATATCATGAAATTTCATATTGTATTAGAATATTTGTTTCCATAGTTACCACCAGTACTTTATGGTGTTATTCATCTTATCTAGCAATCACACTTTACTAATTCAAGAGACAAACATTCTGCAGTCTTCTGTATTCCATTTTGTATATTCATTTACTACAAGCATTCTTTGCTTCTACAAATACTTATAAACTATCTGTTTTTACGAAATTGAAGAAACCAAACTGCTGTAAATTACAGACATTTTCCAGATAAATCATTTGGTTTTTACTAAACTCTGTTGATGTATGCTTTCCAGACATAAATTATTTCACAAATATTTTCATAGACTATGAATGTAAAAATCCTTACATACCTCTTACTAGAAATATGACGTATATAACAAGGACTTTATTATTTAGAAGTCCTGGATAACAATCCAGATCTTTGCATACATTAGGTTGGATGATATCTCTCACCAGATACAAGTTAGATGATACTGACGAAATCTAATATTGCACAGTTCTTTTCTTAGACTTCTGCACTCATATGTTTTATTTTAACTGGTCACATTCAAACTGCAAGTAACCTTTGCACTGCGAGAAATGCAGACTTCTGCTGTGACTCTCTGTAATTTTAGGATGAAAGGCTTTCACAATATTCACACGAATCATTTCTAAAACAACCAGACTTTAGCTGTGACAGTCCGTAACATTATGTGAGTCTGTAATTTTATGTTCAATCTCCATATATAATTGACACTAGTATGGATAAAATAGATACAGACTTTTGCTACGAAAACCCGGAATCCTGCGAGTGAGAATTAGCTCCCCATGTTAGAAGTCGGTCAGCATTCATTGTAATCATGGCAAGATACTTCTGAAGGTCTTTTATATAGTGTTCAATTTTCTTGATAGCCAAATCAGCTGAGGAACCTGCTTTGTCATTGGATGAACCTCTTGTTCTGTCATCCAATGACAAATCCTCTCTCATTGCACTTGCCAAATCACTCATATTTCTTGCCTCTGTTGAAGGTATGGGTTGGTTTCTTTTCTCATCCCTCAAATCAGCTTTTATCTTTATCTCTGTGTGAAAATGTCTGGAAAAGAATTGGAATATTTCTAATATTCTTATTTTCAGAATCATTATGTAAGCTAAACCAAGTTATTCCTATTGTATAAATTATCTGAAAATAATTTTCTCTCTCTCTGTACATGCTGACAAGTGTATTTATATTGGGGTTATTACATATTTTTCTTGATGAAAAACTAGAAATTCTTATATTTACATTTGATTATTGTCAATTTTCATAAAACACCTAAAAAAAAATAACCGTTTACACTTTGTTACAATAGTAATGTATTGAACTGAACTGTCATGATATATTAGAAGAAATAGGTGGCGCCACTAGTGTGTCATTGATGACACTGTGACAACAAAATAGTTCCAAGAGCAAATGATTATATTGATGCTTAATATTTGCAAATACATATAGCATGTTAAATTATATCTAGATATCTTACATGTCTCTTCACAACTCAACCAAGTTTATATAACAGATGAAAACAATTGGTGTAAGTAATGACTAGACCATAACATCTAATTGCGACAAGTAAATATTGATACATATCTGTCGTTGAAACTCTTTGTTTCAGTTCTATCCAGCCTAAAGTTTCTCCCTGACTCTAGAGAGTACTTCCCATAATAACCCGTGTAAATACGAACTGCAATATCCCTCAGCTAGGGAGAACTTCTCTTGAGCTTGATTGGTAAGTCCAGTAAGCCAAAGGTCTTGGGTTCAATTCCTAATGTAGGAACTGGAATAAATAATGAGTTACAACATTAAACTTACTTGAGTTTTCTCAGTGACTCTTTCATCTCTTCACATCGTTGTCTTGTATCGAAGCTGATCTGCTGTATGTCTGTCAGCCAACTCTCCGTCACATTACGGATTCGTTGTTCCTGTAAAACTTGAGCCTTCAGGGCTTCAATCTGCTCGAATGACTATGAAACAAGAAAACAATGATAACAGCTATTACAACAGAAACAGAGAGCCGAAACTCACATAAATAAACTCTATATCACAATATTTTTGCCCTTGCACCACTTTACACACAAATTTGACTCACGTTCATTTTGCCCTCTTAGGGTTATAAATAAAAGAATTACGCGGTCTATGTTACATTTTTGTCCTGCTTGTTAATTCAACCTCCTTGTTTATGGACAAAGAGCATGAAAATTAAATGGGGGCAAAAATTTCCTGGTTACAGTACTCCCAACACAAAAGCTTCTTATTTACAAAGTGGTCAAGGGTGACCTTTTATATCTAGCCTTGATCAATAACCACTAATTCATGAGACATGAAAATATGAACCAGTGTTCTGTAGTATATGAGATATATAGTAAACAGTGTTATTACAAAGATAGCAGTCATCAGTACACATGGAAAGCTAGTGATTACTATAACCCCCAACTATATACACATATATGTGGGAAGTATGAAAATGTTGTAAACAGATTGACATTTCAAATCTGTTAATTTCTCTCGCAAAGAGACCATACCTATCTACAAAAACAGAAAGATAAATAACGCAAACATCAAAAACAAATTCATGATCTGACAAACAGTCAGACATAAACACTGTCTTCATATCAAGTTATTTCTACCTGTAATTCATAAATCAATCAATAATATCTGGATAAAAGATTAAAAAAAAATTCAGCTTAGGAAAATGAAAATTCCAAGATTTACAAAATTTTTAATTTGGCATGAAGACTCCAAAGTTCTTTTAGCGAAATCCAAAATACAGGGTATTGCCTACATTTAAATTTCAAACATCTTCCCAGTGTTGAATTCATCGTAACGACATTCAGATGCCTGTTCAGATGAAAATTTGGTTAATACATAAAAGGGTTATACATTTGCTGACAAGTTACTTGAGTTCCTTGAGTGTGATCACGGTCTCTCTTGCTTTCTTTCTAGTTATATTTTTACCAGTTGGTGCATTCACCTTTCACCTAAACATCCAGGTTTCGATTCCCAGAATGGACGTGAAATGGTGTCGGGTCACCTGCCCAACCACGTGGGTTTTTTCTGTGTACTCTGGTTTCCTTTGACAGTAAGGCCCATATGTGCTTCCATATGGGCCAACAAGAGTGATTAATGTAAGTTTGAAAAACTTGCTTCATGACTGTTGTAAAATGAATAAAGTTTTTTTTTTTATCTTTATTGAACCAGTCGCTCCCAAATATGGAAAATTCTGAAAAAGACTTTCTACTTAAATCACACCAGGTATGGAGACTCATATAAGGTCCTCATTATCTTAGGATCACTTTACACACCTTGCGTAACTGGAGACCCATGTCCTGCATCTCGGTATCCAGACGGTCAGCATAAGCTTGCTCCAGGTTCGATTGACATATCGGCCCACGGTTATGCCAACGAGCGATTGCATTGGTCATCTTCTTACGGGGCCCAAAAAGTCTACAAAACAAACAGCTAAATGTGAAATTTCAGGAAAATTATTTTGAATTAAATGTGTGAATCATCTTCATTCAAATTGTCTATTCCAGAATTGATTTTTCTTGTAGAAGACATGGGTACTGGACATTTTTTTTTCCTCAATCGTCTCCTACATTTCAAAATGTAGACCCTCAGCATCGTTGATGAGTCCGAGGACATGATGAGTCCGAGGACAAAACAACAGTATGATGCATTTTCTTCCCTAATTTTGCTCTACATTATCCAATTCTAAATTTGTATTAAGTGTTATGAACTTGTGTGTCTTTTGTACAATATTCTTGAATATAGACGAAAAACAGAACACTAGGGACCTACTTTATTCCAACTTCCTTAAGGTCTGCATCGGTCAGCGACAGAAACACCTGTAGGTCAACATCCTGCTCCTCAAACACAGCCAGGTACCGGGTCAGTCCTAACTGGTCAAGCAGTCCAGCCAGATCCTGTGGCTGACCATCAGCCTAATTACATCAAAGATTAATCAATCAAATGTTAGCACAATACATTTGTATCACATTTAGGCAAATTAGAACAATGACAAATCAGCTGATCCAAAGTGAAATCTTTACCAATAACAATCAGAAATTAAAATTACCATAAAGATGTTTAAGTGTAATACTTTCAGCATGAAAAAACACAAAGATAAAATTTCTTCTATTATACATACATATACAGCACATTTCTGTGGATTTAACAATTATCCACAATGGTCGAGGCTTTTAACAGGAAAAAAACTTCTCAACTTTTTTGGGTAAATTTGTGTTATTAGTTCACTTTATGATAACACCAAATATGTCTCCATATTTCATTAACACCACTATCGAAAGACACACATATGTACAGTTATTTGTTATAAACAGGTAGCGTTGATTTCTGAGGTAAACATCAATAAATCAGACGTATCATCACAGCAAAGTGAAAGTAGGCCACGCCTTTTGTTTAGGTCATACATTATTAATAAAATGCTGATTTTTCTAAATATAAAACATTTCTTTTCATATCAAATAGCATGTTCCTGTCAAAATCAATTTTAAGTATATAAAGATCTATAACTAGACTTCATAGTATTATTTCACTTCACACAAAATTTTTAACTTGAATTAAAATCTATAAGAAGTACTATATATGCATGATGTGTAAATTTCTATAATAACCAAATTAAATACAACAAACATACCTTAGGAGGCCCGAAAAATTGCTGATCCTGCAGCAATGCATTATGGGTCATCATTGGATTGGCTGCCATGACAACATTGGTGACAGCAGGATGAGAAGCCATCACAGAATTTGACGCCACCATTGCTGGGCCAGGAGGAATGATGGATTGCTGAATACCGGTGTTTGAAACCATGGGCTGGTTAGACTGCATGATGGGAGATTGGGGAACCCCCTGGTTTTGTTGCATTGTGGGAGCTTGGGGCAGCCCTTGGTTTGACTGCATGTTGGGAGATTGGGGAACCCCCTGATTTTGTTGCATTGTGGGAGACTGAGTAACTCCCTGGTTTGGTTGCATTACGGAAGATTGGGGAATCCCTGTGTTGATAGATGGGGGAGTAGGAAACAGTTGGTAACCTATCTGTGCTGCACAAGTGACAGGATTGGAGCCAAGACCTGGGAACATGTTTGGTGGTGGGTAGTTATTGTCTGTAGGGGGCAGGTTATTGTCTGCTGTGACGTCAAACTCCTTGGGCGTGGAGACGTACCCTAAATGTTGTTGGCGGTCATTTTGTGATGCGGCACCATTATTGCTGGGTTTAGATTCAAATTGATTACATGACGTGAAATTGGATGGTTTTGTGTTAAAATTGGACGGTTCTGCATTCAATCTAACAGGATGAGCTTGGCTACTCATGCTGAAACTGGACGGTTGAGGCTGATGACTGTTTTGGTGATTAATATTAAAACACGGCATGGATGTTTGAGAATTGGAACTCATTGTAGCCAATTCAGCTCTTGTGGTAAAGCTTGATGAATGATTATATGTGACAAATGAAGACTGGGATGATGAATTTGCAATAGACTTTGAGGCCTCTGATTTGCTGATGTGATGACCACTGTGGAGTTGACTGGGTTCAGAGTCCTTCCCACTGCCACCTGGCAGACTGGCCTCATCACACGGTATGCTAGCACTCTCACTGACCCTATCACTGTTATTTTTCAACGCTGTCTCTAAGTCTTTGTTGAAGCTACTGGCAGGGGAGAGTACAGTGCCATTAAGACTGTTGGTGCTGCCCTCTAGTGAGGAAACTCCAGAGTGTGACGTGATGCTATCTTGCGGCTGACAATCATCGCTGTCCAGACTACTCTCCCGATTTATCCCCAGAGCAGCCATCAACCCACCACTGGAGCCAGAACTACTCTTTATAGTGAGGGCTCCAGTCTTAGAGAAAGCATTACCATCCTCTTCGTGTTCATCTACACAAGAATCTGCAAAATTGAAGTGAACTTTACCATGTGACAAAGTTGTGTTAAAAAGTAAGCAAAGTTCATTTTCTCTATCAAGGTAAGGACATTTCATGTCTTCATATATTGAAGCTGAGTTGACCTTTGTCCCTTGTGAGGCAAGTGAGCTAATTCTTGCTTTCTGTATTATAGATGCACTGACCTTTGCCCCTTGTATTGTAGGTGTACTGTCATTGTCATGTAGTTGGACTGACCTTTCACCCCAGTAATGTTGGTGTACTGACCTAAAACCTGGTAGTTGACCTAAAGTTGGACCCATGAAGTGACCACTGCATTTTAGGAGTACTGACCTTTGATCCTTATCATGTGGATGGACTGACCTTTGCCCCAAGTAATATTGGTGTACTGACCTAACCCCTGGTAGGTATCCTGAACTTGGACCCATGAAGTATAGGTGTGCTGTCCTTTGACCACTGCGTTTTAGGTGTACTGACCTTTGATCCCTGTCATGTGGGTGGACTGACCTTTCCCCCAGTAATATTAGTGTACCATCCTAACCCCTGCTAGGTGTACTGAACTTTTCCCCTTTAAACTGAGGTAAACTGTCCTTTGACTTCTGTGTTGTAAGTCAGCTGACCTTTGACCACTGTGTTATAGATGTACTGACCTTTTCTCTCTGTAGTGTAGGTGTACTGACCTTTGCCCCCTGAGCTGTCCAGAGCACTATTATAATCCTGTTGGTTGATTGGTGAAGTGACATCGCGGAAGGACAGTTTTGGTGCATCACTTGGGTCAGCCTCATTCTGCTTAAAACTCAGGTATCCTTTTGGCACTTCTGTAAACGTTCAAACAATCATATTTTTATGCAGATGTTACACTAAAATAAGAAACATCACTGAAATCAAACATTTATATCCATTATATTTATTTCCTGAAAATAAGAAACAGTATATTAACAGACGCACTGCTGTGAATTTTTCTGAGGAAATAAAAACTCGTGCAAACATATATTGATAAGACACTGTTTATAATTAACAAAAAGCTCTAACTAAACTTAACTTTAACCAAGTAGATATGATCTAGTCCTGTTAGGACAGAAATATTCAGGCCTAAACAAAATCACATCTACAAGACACAGGCTGTTTCTTACAAGCACTACAGGATCTATCAATGTGTATGTGTTAAATATTCCATGAGGTCAGTCATGATCCCAGATGTGATTGTTCTTGGTTTTTCGTATAAATCATTTTAACAGCTTCTCAGATTTTTATCAGTGCTATCTGAATACTGCTGTGAATTTTCTCCCCTTAGTACATAAAAAGTGAATTATCTCCCCCGTACATCCTTGAATGTGGTTTAACTCGATAGAAGCTACTTAATTAACCTACATTTTACATACTTTAATGTAAATTATATTCCCTGTACCCACTCAGTTGTGAGTTATTTCCCCTGTACTGAATTCAGTGAGAGTTATTTTTCACGTATAAGTTGAGGTGTGAGTTTCTCCCCTGTATGAAATTGGTTATTGAGCCACTTTTGCTTAATCGCTTGAAACAATTCAGGCGGCCAGGAATTATTTCCTGATACAAAAATACACCTAAATAGATTGTTAGAAATGATATATGTTAAGCTCAGAGTGCACAGTTTCAGATTTTCATGTCACTTAAAACAACAAACAAAAATAAAATATTGATTTTACTGAATTTATAGTAAAACATTTCCAAAAACATGAAAGTGTTCTGACTCTACTTTATTTTGAAATTCTGAACAATAATGATATTTCGCAATTTAGTTCAGACAGGTAAAAATTAGATCCCTCAAACTGCATGGGCTGAATATTCTACAGGCCAGCTTCAGCCTTTTCTCTTGCAGCTTCAGCTAATATTTTTTCAATTGATTACAGGAAGAATTCTACGTTTACCTCTATCGTTCTATTTGTATGTGGGTTATTTCTCCTGTACCCTATTGGATTTGAGTTATCTCCCCTGTACCTACTTGGGTGTGAGTTTTCTGCACTGCCTGGATGAGACCGGTCTATCAGTCGTGCAATGGCATCTGGTCCATCTCGTATACTGGGTCCACCCTTTCCCTTGCCTCGACGACTCTGCTGTGTCCGGCGTACAGGAAAAGCTTCATCTGATGAACTGAGATCAGCATCCAGACCTAGCAGAAATGAAGACTTTGGTAACTGCTTTGTTATCATAAATACACCGTCTTGTATAGCAAAAGCTCTTTTCCAGGAAAACACCTCTATCTGATGATGATATCATATTCACTGTAAACACCAATATATAAAACTGATTAGATGATAAAGTTCAATCAGTTTGTGTATTGGGTTCTTCACACTGTCAACAACCAGGGTCATTTTGAGGCAGAATCTCCTTGCAGTAATTGGTGGCACCTTAGTGAACAACATACAAAAGGCCCATCGTATGTCAATTAGAGCAAAAATCATAAAATGTCTTGTCCACTGACAATACCACATCAGCAGACTGATCCAGTACTCAGCTTCTCAAGAAACACAAAAAACTATATGTAAGGGCCTCAAACAACGCACCTCAGATCTTAACCTGAGGTTATGTCACCCATTGCTGTAACCACCTAACCTACCATGGCTCCTGATAACCTTATCAAACCACATAGGTATACTTTAGTGAAAAGATTTTAGCATATTACATCTGTTTAGTTTGATGAAAGATGAAGTATTGTGAAAACTGATATTGAGGTGATACAATTCACTTAGAAATATGATAAATACTGATAATATCTGTTGGGGTTTTTTATTGATTGATGTCTTATCAACAGCCAGGGATGTGCCAAGTTTGGATTATAGAAGAAAGCTAGACTTCCTGGAGAAAACTATCAACCAATGCCCAGTATCCAGTAGGCCTTGAACCTGCGACCTGGGGATTGAGGGCTAGTGACAAAGACAGTAGGATGCCTAACTACTTAGCCACCAAGGCCTTTATGTCAACGATTTCTAAATGTCAAAAAGACAGATTCAAGAATGTTGAAAATTGTTTCCATTTCATACAATATCTTTAATCTTACCATAAATCTCCCATTTAAGCCCATAGGAGACTTACTAAATTAAAAACACGTCTGACTTATAAATATAGTTATGAAAAAGAAATACATAAAAAGATCCTGATGTCATATAATGGAATCGCTAGTTATAAAGCTTATGTTTTCAAGGAGAAGTCCAAACATTGGTTAAAATTTGTTGAACAATGTATCTATCAAATACTTTCTATACAAACTCCTATATAAATTAACAGAGGTCATTATTTATTTGAATGCCTCTTCTATGAATCAAACCCAGGACACCAGGCTTACTAGTCTAATGCTCAAACGATCAAGCTAAAGAGAAGTGCTCTCTAGCCGTGCAGTATAATGTCACTATTATTTACCAGGATTACAAACTCTTACTCCAAGTAAACAATTTTCCTTCAAATTCCAGAATTTGCAGCAATTTCTGTAGGACAAAGCTAAGTATTATTTCCAAGTCCTACACAGGCACCAATGTAACAGGAGCCACTATTTATTTAAATTCCTCCTCTAGGATTCAAACTCCGGACTCCTGGTGACATAGTCTGATGCTCAACCATTAAAGCTAAGACAAGCTCTCTCTATCCAAGTGGTATATTGTGGCTTGTATTTACCGCGGTTACATATAATATCATATAAGCTTTATTTATCTTACTACAATTAAAAAAAAAAGCTTTAAGCTTATATTAATCACCCTTATAAGCCTGGATGGAAGCTCATGAGAATTTTGTGGGAGGAAGCCAGAGTACCCGGGGAAAAAACATGAAGGTGACCCCCATATCTGTTCACATCTGTGTCGGGAATCAAACTAAAGACATCTTGGTGAAAGCTGAGCATGTTACCACTACTCCACCGGACTACCAAGATTACATCAACAACAAAAGTCTGTTGTGACAGGAGAAATAGTTACAATGAATTAGTTGCTCTGTGATACCTGCTTCAGATCGTAGACAAGTTATGGGCATGCTATGGTTGTCAATGAGGCTCACAATCTTTATGTGTCCATAAATTAGAGCTAGAGATCGAGCTGTATCTCCGTTATGAGCTTTGGTATTGACGGTCACTCCCTGAAACAAACAAACAGTAGAGAGATAGCAAAATATACAACAAAACTTGAATAGTTCACATCAATCAACTGGTTAATTTCAATCTAACACCACTTCATCTGTCTTTAACACAATATCAGGTCGAATGTGGAATATTATGAGATGTTTTTCTGTAGTACATACAAAAAGAAAACTTTTTGAAAAGTCCAAGTGTGTATATGAGCGATTTATCACTTCACAGTCCTGTTATGTCTTATGGCATTTTATTGAAAGTAACAGTTTTGCCAAATAAATGCTGAAATCATACATATATATTGTGTATCTAATTTTGTTTTATTATAGAGAACTTAAACTTCAAGATTTACTTTTATTTATTCTTATCAAGTATCTAATGAGTTATATGTTTTAATTTGACGTTTACAACACAGATCCTTTGGAAAAATGAACGATGGTAAGACCATAACATTCAGATTACTGTTAACAAACTACTTGAATATCACAAACACAGTAAAATTTTTAAAATTTATTACAACAAATTAAAAATACCTGAATTAAAGACACCAAAATAATTTATATAAAAACTTTGTAAATGATATAACTATTTACCTGACATGCAGTTTAGACTTATTAAAAAAAAATATATATATGTGTATATATACGGTAAACCACAGATTGGTTTGAGTGGGGGGATTTTTCGAACATGTGAATTTTTCAATAAAAACAACAATTTTCTGTCTGGTGATAGTTCAAACCCTTTCTAGTTTGTTTCACTTATATTTTGAATTCGTACTTGAGTTCAAACATTGTGAGACTGCATGTATTACTAGGTACACAGGCATTGGCGTCACATAATGATAAGATAATCACGTCAAGACAGTCCAAATAGTTTTAAGATTCATAACAATTTTAACAAACATTAATCTGTAGTCATATTAAGTCTCAATCCACACTCTGTATACCAATATGTCAACGCTAACTTCCATCAATACACAAGCAGGCTGATTTTTTGTCACAGTATCTAAAATTATGAAGATTGAAATGAAACCTGTAATTTCTTAAAAGCCAATTAATATGTAGAGCATTACAGAAAGTGTTAAAAAATAATAACTTTATAATCAACCCCCACACCCACCCTGAAAATAACATTTCCATGCAACCAGTAATTTCCTGTCCTGGTAGTACGCTCTTAAACACCTTGCCATGATTATATGCAATGTGGACCTTAACTGTTCAAACTCTCACCAGTTTGCAGTACTAGTTGGGCTATTAAATCACAAATATGTTCCTTTTCACATGGGCTGTTATTTAGGTCATCAGTTTGACCATATGAACCAGAGTTGTTTGTTTAGAAAATAAGAGAAAACCTAGTGATCTTACTTTACTCCTGACAAGGTTCGACTAAGACCGAGACCGGTAATAAAATTTGCAGATTTATGTTTGATATGTTGCATTTGAAGTGCTAACAAACCAGTTTGTTTGCATGAATGAACGGGCCCCAGGTTACACACTTGACTACAATAAAGCACTCACATGTTGTAGAAATATCTGTACAATGATTTCGTGTCCCTCTGCCGCAGCCTCCATGAAAGGTGTAATACCCATACTAGGTTCTCTTTTGGGAACAAAATTGTATTCTGATTAAAATAACAATAAAACAACATATACACATAATATATTATGTGATAAAAAGTATAATCATCCCTTATTTTTCTTAAAAGATACTAGTACAGTAAAATGTTAACCCCAACACCAGGTTTTGTTTCGGGATTTGACCACTCATACAATTTAATCACTTGCTGAGAAGTATAAGGCAGGAAGCTGAACTATGGATAAGAGTGTCTGATTTGTGAGTCTTGGAGCCAAGTAGATATGTTACTGGAATAGACTTAAGAACTTAGAAGTAATTGGTAGGAAATCTCACTTAGGAGAGCAGAATTCAAGTACATAATATCATGGAAAAGTCCTTACATGACATTTGTTCCATAGAAATCCAAAATGAAAGTAAACTGGGCATATATATATCAAAATATCTATACAGAAATTAACTGTAATTAGTAAGATTTGATATCACTTCCCAAAACTGTAAAAGGATATCTAGAAAAAAAAAACCTAGTAAAACATGGATAAGTCGAAATTGACAGGACCAAATTAAATATTTGACTTATCTGATGGTTTGACTTAGCTGCATCTCTATGAAAGGAAACATTGTACATCAAAGATTGACCCTATCTTTATATAATGAGTTTCACTTCTAGTAAAATTTGATTATGGACAGTGCTATCTTTAAATAAGTTGCTGTCTCAAGTAGTCTTTCTGAACAAACATTTTTCCTTGAAGGAAGCTATATAAAAAAGAAAGGAAGTTGTCGCCAATCAGTACTCACACAGCGTCTATGTTGGCACCCTGCTCCAGCAGAGTCTGTACCATGTTTTGGTGTCCAGCATATGTAGCATGGAATAGAGCAGTCCATCCTTTTTGGTCGCGTGCCTCTAGCTCTGCTCCTTGCTGTAAACGTTACAAAAAAATATAAAAACATTATTTAATTTCTAAATATTTTAATATGCAATTATGTTTCAGATGGTTTTAGAGTTGATGAAAACATCAAATAGACTCTACTCTTTTGCAATTTTTTACCTTTAAAATCCATCCAAATTTTTCACTCACTACTAATGAAACTTTTCTTTTCAATTATTTTATTTCAATCAGTTGTATGACACATTCAGTAATAAACACCATAACTTTATTCAAGCAAATATATGTTAAACAGTAAGAACAAGGCTTAATGAAGATCTAAGTACTATAAAAAGATTTGAAACAGACAAGATGAACACAAGACATAGAGATGAATAAGTAAACAAAATAAAAGATTTTTAGCATTAAAGTATGAAGACAGAGAAAATAGTCTTGATAGTTTGAAAATCATTTGAATTTTAAAAAATTACATCTCCGATCTTGTTTAGAATAGACATATATCTCAATATGATAACCAAACATAGGACTGTATTTTGAAGTTGTTTATAAATCAGGAATGATCAATATTTACCTGGCAGATGAAGTAGCCAACACTCTCATTACCACAGCTGGACGCCAACATTAAGGGTGTCTGACCCTTGCTGTTTTTAATGTTGACTGACACATTGGCATCTAATAACAAGTTGACAATGTTATCGTGACCAATGTAACAAGCGTACATGAGCGGAGTCCATCCTCCACGGTTCTTTTTATCCAAGTCAACTTTTCTGCAACACAAAGTTTTAGGGGCACCCTTTATTGATATGTAATAGCACTTAACAAACATCTTTGTATTTTGTAGAAAAATATTTCTGATTATCTGTATGTGGTGTATTTATGAATTATTTTTACGACAATATTTCTATAGATCCTTGACTTAGTTTCCATTCCTGTGTACTTGTAATAATTGTGATATTTTATGAAACACCTAGCCATAGGTTCTCAGTTAGTTACAAGTTTTCTGTCCATGTGATTCTTTTTGTTGCTTTGTTCCATCTCCCTGGCATTATAGCCAGTGTTCTGTCAGTTTATCTAAATTCAGTATCTTTGATAATATATGATTCAGCTCCAGAAATAAGATCAGATATATTCCAACACAGTGTATTTAACTTATCCTATTTTGAAGGAAATGCCAACTTCAATGAATAATCAATATATTTTTTTTGGCGATATCATAAATTGTCATCCCATCAATTCACAAGAAAGATATTTTGAAACATGTCATACTATTATGCCACAAGTTGTTTTGATCAATGACAATAAATTTATTTACTGAGGCAGTAAACTTCTGAAATAGGGAAATATCCATCATTGAAAAAGTAAAATGATTTCATGTTTTGGTGTGATTTATTTACAATGTGCAATGTAATTTGATGTTTCTTAAGTGTTGTTCCATAATAATTGTATCAACCTTGATTTTATTTCCCAATCTTTCTTTGATATTCTTAATGTTGATATACACAACATACAACAAATCAACATTATACACCAGTAATTAGAACTCAAAAAGTTAAAAAAAGAAGCAAAAAAAAAAAAAGTCATTTTTGGTAATATCCTTCAGTCTGGAGATGTGTATTTTTGTTAGTTGAGTTCTAAATCATTGCACTGACCTCAATCATTATACTGTTACTTGCTTTACAACAAAATTTTCATTTTCAGTGTATTTAATATTTACCTTGCAATAAATGATCGCACACAGTCATAGTGACCAATGCTACTAGCAGTGTGAAGGTCAAGGGGTATTGGGTCAAAGGTCTCTTTCACATTCCAACCCTTCCACACAGATAGACTCTTATCGAGGAGTTCATTCTCTGAGGACTCATCGGAGGCTTCATACTGGGCATCCACCTCGCTGGCCATGCTTGTTCACCTATGAGAAACAAGACATAATGTATAATGACCACATTGTTATCTTGACTAATATTAGGCTGTTTCTGCTAACCCTAACTACCTTAATACTTTGTGCCTACCCTTAACTTTTTAAAGCAATTAAAAAAACAACACTGTTATTTTCAACATCTCTCTCCTAAAAGTACTTGTTAAATTCAAACTTTCTGCCTTCCTTACCTCAATCTGTCTGACATGTTACAAGAAAAATATTTACAAAACAAATGCATATTTGTCAGGCCTTTGTGGTAAATGACGTTGTTTACTTGGCTACCATAGTCAATCAATACAAGAAGTAATAAACTGTAAGTTTCACAAGGTATGGTACTTGTGCCAAAATTGGCTTTTTCTAGAATTTTGTACATAAAATGGACGATTCCGAAACCTCAAATTAAGAAAATTCTAATAAAATATGTATATGTTCTTCCGTTCATTACCAATACATGTATATTGTAAAGCACATGAATTCTTTTCATTCAATATGTTATTACCCTTTCATATTCTTATGTCAATTAAACAGTGATTGTTTTACAATTTATTTTCATGAGTCATTCAACTCTATTGCTAAAACAATGGGTCCTGCAATGTAAAATTCAAGTATTTCCCAAAATTGTATCAGTACATGTTCAAATGTAGATTTACCTGATTAGAGTGGCAAAAGTTGATATGAACATATTTTAAAGTTAAGAAAAAATCAAAGGGAATGAACCTGTAATATTCAAAATCAGATATTAGTTTCTGAATCATTACCTTTTCATAATACATTACTTGAGTGCCTCCGTATCCCTGTGACCTGTTGCTTTATATTGAAAACCAGTTTGTCATCAATATAAATGTATAAGGCATACACCTTGAAGGACCTGTGAATATCAAATCGGGCCCAGAAAGGCTTAGCTGAGACTCATGGAAGAGTAAAATAAGATCAGTAATCTATCATTATGTCACAAACAAACAACCCTGGTCTAGTCTAATTGGTCATAGTTTTAATTGATACATGGAAACTGCTGTGATCCCTAATGCATTAAGCCCTAACAGGCTAACCAATGTATCCATCAAGTGAAAACTTCAGAATACACACATTTAAATGACAATGTTTTCAAATCTCAGTAGATAAAAAGACAGTGTTGTGTGCAAAATTAGTGGTTACCTAGATCCAATACATATATAGCTTACTTATGGTTTCCTCGGTCAATTGAAAAAAAATCCTAAGCGGTAACATCACAAAAGCTCTACATAGCTTGTTGATAGTCTTATCTACTGTGTTAAAAACTTCATTGTAAAAGGTTACTTGTATTCATTGTCATGCTGACAGACGGTCGAGATAACTTGAAAATGCAAATGACTGATGCACATGTCTACCGTTGAATTTAACGTACATCGTTCTTGCCAAGATAAAATCATCTGCCAAAAGTTTTCAAATCGAGGTCGGTTTCCAATTGAACAGACACCTGAAGCAGAGATCTGTATGGAGCAGACACAGTATGAATGAAGATATTTTGTAGTTTTGTGAACCATGGCCTATAATATAAATATGAAGTTACAATGACGATTGGCGTTTGATTCGTAACTATGACTAATGTTTACGTTTAACCACCAGCCAATTTTTAAACAAACAATAAGATGAAATGATACATACCGACAAAAAGCATGTTATTCCATTAAATTCAGATTAATCATCGTCACATCTTTTTCCTCCAGCCTATTTTTCAACTTTACCTTTCGGAATAATAATAAAAGGTAAATCTTCGACGTCTTCAATGTGCATAAAACTAGAAGTACATTTTAACATATCCTTTAAGCGTTTCAGTGACTTTTATTCAAGATTAACCACATATAACATGTAAAAATCAGAGGGTACTCGAAATATCCGGCTCAAAGGCCCAACATCCGGGCACTTGGTATGGCCGAAATGTTTTCACCGGAACATTCTAGGAGAGTGAAAAATGACCTACATTTCATTTCTTTCTGATGTTTTCTGGCAAAAAAACGTACGCTTAGTATTCGAGGAAACAATATATTACACGGTAAGTCAAGAAAAATAAATCACGTTCGATAGTTCGTGGAAAAACTACACTGACGTTCAGAACGCGGATAACTTCAGAAGTGATGAGGGAAAGTTGCGATAGTTGACATAATTACCATGGAAGCGAAACTTAAAATGTCTGAAATGTTATCGGGTTCATGCTATTGCTTCCTTACAAAATTATCACTGATGAATTTAGCATATTGATTGGGAAATACGACAAGCTTCTTGTGTTAGATCGATATAAATCATAATAGAAAAATAATGCTCTGTTCTGACAAATAATGAACAAGCCGTCAACTCGCCTTGTTGAAACATGCACGGATCCCCATGTATATGAGGCACCGAACAAGACTGTCTGTGTCCACGAGGCATAGTTCTTTTAGGTGGATATATATGTACATTGTGGTAGCATTTACTTAATATTCTGTCTTAATTTCGAAAAAGGTTTGAAAGTTCATATTATTTAACTCGGATTGAACGAGGAATTTTGACATTTACGAGTTACTTCCCCTTAGTCAAAATTTAACACATGCACCTCTCCATGCACTTCGTAAACAAACTTATGCCAGTGATTCGTCAGATTTTATTTCATTGTTCATCATCGTTATCAAACTTTTATGGTTGAATATTTTTGGTTGTCACCTTGAAATTGCTGTCATCTGATCTGGTTTGATTTGGAGATAACAAATCACATGTACAAATATAGAATCCTAAATGTGTCTGAAATTTCTTAGTTTTTAGCTTGCACATAAAATTATTGTACTGATCGTGACTACTGTCTTTTCAGAAGAGCATTATTTAGACTATCACAGAAACAAATTACATGCAGAGAGATTATAATTGAATTGGAATGCATTTTCTGATTGTCTGAAGATATGACATTTTTGTCTTGTAATTTTGTATTAAGGAAAAATCTTTATGACACTATTTGCAAAAAAAAAAAAAAAGATATTGTAAAAGTACACTTTCCAAAAAAAAATATAAAAAAAAAATAGTGATATTTGAATATCTTTTTGCGTTAATACTATTGTGAACCTACGGCAGTTCAGCTTTATTTTTAAAAACACTGTAAAAGATACATGTAAAAATTTTGTATTAAGATTATATAATTGTATATGTTTAGCATTGGTCAGTTTAATTTCATTAAAAGTAGATAGAACTCAATGCTGTCACTTTTGGTAAAATATATCTGCTTCTTCATGGTTGCAGTCGCCCACCTTTAGTTTTAGATATTCACTGCGGACTAGATTACTCTGTGAATTGATTTTGTTGTATCAGGTATTTAGGTTTTTATGGCTGGCAAGTACTTTGGTCATATTGGCAGACAGCCAAAAATAAATCAATGAACATTACATATGTCTTTTAACAAGTACATGTACATTGTACAAACAGATTATAATTTTAAATGGCCTTGAAATTGTCTGACATTTTGTACACTTAAATGACTTTTTAGCAATTCACCATATTAGCTTCTAAGACAATTTCAAAATTCTGATTTGACAGCTTAGTTTGTTTTTTTTCTGCAGAATGTAGCATCTTGGATCCCATATTGGAACTGTTTCTAAGGGGCTCTAGCTTTCCTTTTTTTGAAATTTGGGAGGTGGGGGTTGAAGGATAGGGGTCTGCATGTAACAATTTAATTCCCAGATGTTGATGTTTTCTTTTGGTATAATTTTTTATTTAGGATTATGTGCCTATGGTATATGGTTTGTTTTGCAATCAGAAATAAATTAAGCAATCCTTTACACATTAACATATAAGTTATATTTCCTATCTCAGACTGACCACATGGAAAACCCAGGTACAATGTACTCGAGTGACGAGGGCAGTGATAATGAGGGGATGGACGTGGCTGGGAGAAACAACAGTGCCCTCTGTTTAGCAGGCAAATCACTGCTCAAACCAAAGCTTGACTCAATCTTCGCTGAGGTGGAGAAAAACCTGCCGTCCATTGATTTTGATTTGTCTGATGTAAGTTTCGTGATAAAGTGTGGATTTCAATATCAAAAGTGGTCCTGTCCCTTTACATATCAACACATACTGTTTCAAATCTTGAGGATTATTTGGAGTAAGTTTTATTGCAAAGAAACTTTGTCAAATATATCCTCTCTTTTCACATTACCACCAAACTTTGCAATTGTAAAAAAATTTTTGGTGAAAAGTTTGTGTTACATATACAGGCCTTGACTTAAAATGACTGGTGACAGTGTTGGATTCATTTTGTTGATGTGGTGTGTTTTTCCGTTGTAGGTGAGCTCTGACAGTGAGGAACCTGTCATTTTCCAGCGACATTTGATTAAGACATACATAGATGATGATGACAAGGATTTTGATACAAGTCTTAATGAAGAATCACTTTCTGAGCTCCTTCATTCATCTCGTGATAATATGTCTCTTAACTCCAACACAGTCGAAGATGGTGAACTTGGTAGTTCAATATCTCAGCCTGTGTATGATAATGATCTTGCTCTTCAGATCCAGAAATCAAACAAGGCAACGACTTCCACAGGTAAACTCAGGGCCTAGATATCTTATTTTGTTCACAATGTTGAAATAATAATGTCATGATTTTGAATTCTAATAAAAGAGATAGTATTTCACTTTAAACCTCAGGGCCTTGATATCATATTATATTCACAATGCTAAAAGGATCCAGGGGTCTAGGGATAGTGTCAGACTTTACAATTTATTTTTAAGGCATTAGATGGACTTCAGAATTACCCTAACACAAACCAAATCTAGAAAGGCCCCAAACTTGTCCTTTCAGCTTCTGGTCATGTTACAACTGCTAGAGTTAAAATAAGGCATTGTCAGGCCCTTAAGCCATTTACTAAACCTAGTATGATCAAACGATCACAGATACAGACTGTTCCATCCCACTAAGGGGGATAAAGGTCACCCTCTCACGTCGCTTAAACACTGACGTTCGCCAGCGAGATGATACCTGGACACAGGAGGTGTCACGGAAAGGGAAAATCTGTCAATCAATCAATTAATCAATTGATAATACCATGGTTCTAAATTTCATTGAAAGACGTATCATTTTGTGTTTACATTACAAAAATGATAATATCATGGTTTTAGATTATGGAAAAAGAGATAGTGTTCCACTTTAACGTCAGTAGCCAATGCCTTATCTGTTTATTGAATGAAATTAATCTTTTAAATGTCTTGAAATTTAGAAGGAATTTTTACAATTTGACACATTTGCTTAAATGCCCATGTAGAAATGTCCATCAGTGTAATATTGTTTCTCAAATTTATAGGTACTAGTACCACCAGCTGGACGGAGGTAGTTATAGAGGCAAGAGAGGATGCCGCCAAATTTTCCGAACGTCCACAGGTTAAGATGCAGAACTGGTTGGAAGAATCAGACCAACCAATTCCAGATCTCTCGGACGCTTTAAGCATGATAGAGAGTGAGATGATGCGTCGAGTGGAAAGTCAAGAAAATCTGTTTGACATCAATTCATTCACAGAAAAGGATGACAGTGATGAAAATATAGAAAAACATGAAAAAGAATCTAACAAGGAGAATGCTAAAAAGACAACTAATCATAAATCTGGTGATCCAAAAGTAGATAGATATCTGCAGCAGGAACTTCGCAGAGATCAAGAACGGGAGATTGTGTCCAACATGGTGTCATCTCAGCCCCTCAAACTCAATATGGGCTCTCTTGGCAGTCTGGATATTGGTTAGTAAACTTTTTTGTGACACATCTTGATATTTACAAACTTGAAATTCAAGTTATTTTCTCTAAAGATTTCAAAATGTATATATCTGTTCAATAGAGCCATTACCTTGAATATGATGTTTAAGTTATAGTGTGAGTTAAATTATGATAAGGTACTTATATTAAATGTGATAAGCTATAATTGATAAGATGTTTAACTCTTTAATGTTCCATAAATACAATTAAAAAGACCACATGAATCAGATATCTTCATTAGTCTAACATACAAAACAAAATCAGTACAGAATTAGTGGCATGGATATATTTTTTCATCTAGGAGAGAGCTATTTTAAGGTTTGAAAACATATATAACTTTTATCCGACCTGATCTCTGCCAGACATACATATTTTTTATCTGTCCTGATCTCTGCCAGACATACATATTTTTTATCTGACATGATCTCTGCCAGACATACATATTTTTTATCTGTCCTGATCTCTGCCAGACATACATAACTTTTATCTGACCTGATCTCTGCCAGACATACATATTTTTTATCTGTCATGATCTCTGCCAGACATACATATTTTTTATCTGTCATGAACTCTGCCAGACATACATATTTTTTATCTGTCATGAACTCTGCCAGACATACATATTTTTTATCTGACCTGATCTCTGCCAGACATACATATTTTTTATCTGTCATGATCTCTGCCAGACATACATAACTTTTATCTGACCTGATCTCTGCCAGACATACATAACTTTTATCTGACCTGATCTCTGCCAGACATACATATTTTTTATCTGTCCTGATCTCTGCCAGACATACATAACTTTTATCTGTCCTGATCTCTGCCAGACATACATATTTTTTATCTGTCCTGATCTCTGCCAGACATACATATTTTTTATCTGTCCTGATCTCTGCCAGACATACATAGTTTTTATCTGTCATGAACTCTGCCAGACATACATATTTTTTATCTGTCATGAACTCTGCCAGACATACATATTTTTTATCTGACCTGATCTCTGCCAGACATACATATTTTTTATCTGTCCTGATCTCTGCCAGACATACATAGTTTTTATCTGTCATGAACTCTGCCAGACATACATAACTTTTATCTGTCCTGATCTGTGCCAGACATACATATTTTTAATCTGTCCTGATCTCTGCCAGACATACATAGTTTTTATCTGTCCTGATCTCTGCCAGACATACATATTTTTTATCTGTCCTGATCTCTGCCAGACATACATATTTTTTATCTGTCATGAACTCTGCCAGACATACATATTTTTTATCCGGCCTGATCTCTGCCAGACATACCTATTTTTTATCTGTCCTGATCTCTGCCAGACATACATATTTTTTATCTGTCCTGATCTCTGCCAGACATACATATTTTTTATCTGTCATGATCTTTGCCGGACATACATATTTTTTATCTGTCCTGATCTCTGCCAGACATACATAACTTTTATCTGTCCTGATCTCTGCCAGACATACATATTTTTTATCTGTCATGATCTTTGCCGGACATACATATTTTTTATCTGACCTGATCTCTGCCAGACATACATAACTTTTATCTGACCTGATCTCTGCCAGACATACATAACTTTTATCTGACCTGATCTCTGCCAGACATACATATTTTTTATCTGTCATGATCTCTGCCAGACATACATATTTTTTATCTGACCTGATCTCTGCCAGACATACATATTTTTTATCTGTCATGATCTTTGCCGGACATACATATTTTTTATCTGACCTGATCTCTGCCAGACATACATATTTTTTATCTGACCTGATCTCTGCCAGACATACATATTTTTTATCTGACCTGATCTCTGCCAGACATACATATTTTTTATCTGTCATGATCTTTGCCGGACATACATATTTTTTATCTGACCTGATCTCTGCCAGACATACATATTTTTTATCTGTCATGATCTTTGCCAGACATACATATTTTTTATCTGACCTGATCTCTGCCAGACATACATATTTTTTATCTGTCATGATCTTTGCCGGACATACATATTTTTTATCTGACCTGATCTCTGCCAGACATACATATTTTTTATCTGTCATCATCTCTGCCAGACATACATATTTTTTATCTGACCTGATCTTTGCCAGTCATACATATTTTTTATCTGACCTGATCTTTGCCAGTCATACATATTTTTTATCTTTCATGATCTCTGCCAGGCATACATAACTTTTATCTGACCTGATCTCTGCCAGACATACATATTTTTTATCTGACCTGATCTCTGTCAGACATACATAATTTTTATCTGTCATCATCTCTGCCAGACATACATATTTTTTATCTGACCTGATCTTTGCCAGTCATACATATTTTTTATCTGACCTGATCTTTGCCAGTCATACATATTTTTTATCTGTCATGATCTCTGCCAGACATACATATATACATATTTTTTATCTGTCATGATCTCTGCCAGACATACATATTTTTTATCTGTCATGATCTCTGCCAGGCATACATAACTTTTATCTGACCTGATCTCTGCCAGACATACATATTTTTATCTGTCATGATCTCTGTCAGACATACATATTTTTTATCTGTCATGATCTCTGCCAGACATACATAACTTTTATCTGACCTGATCTCTGCCAGGCATACATATTTTTTATCTGACCTGATCTTTGCCGGACATACATATTTTTTATCTGACCTGATCTTTGCCGGACATACATATTTTTTATCTGTCATGATCTCTGCCAGACATACATATTTTTTATCTGACCTGATCTTTGCCAGTCATACATATTTTTTATCTGTCATGATCTCTGCCAGACATACATATTTTTTATCTGTCATGAACTCTGCCAAATATGTAATCTGACCTGATCTGTTCTTGACATGTATTTTTTTTTCCAGACATGGTCTTGGGCAATATGAATGAGGAGAACCAGCTTGCGATTCCCATCATTCAGGAGGTGTGGCCAGAAGCCAATCGTATCGAGTCTGTCTTTGCTGCAGGGGAAGGATCAAATAAAACAGGTGTGTTCACATCAGTCTGAATTAAAACTTTCAAAATAGAACTACATATTTATGTAATTAGTACCTTTTTGTAGATGTGGATATTTTACTGTTACACCACCTTAATATTTCCATGTATGTGTTGCAGAATCATCCATCTGCCTGTCCTTTACTGAATTTTTTTTCGAAAACCTAGTATTCGCTTAAAAATATCGCTTGATTCTTTGTATGTTCTGGTTTTTATAGGGTCTTTGTAGTATAGCTGCTTTTCTAACAACAAACTTCTGAAATATTTGTGACAGCAGAGTGAAAAGGAAGTAGAATTTTAGCTGAACATTCTTAACCTGCTGACACAATAAAGTGAAAAGATGTATTTTCATTGTCATTAGAATATAAAATGTCAGACAGAATGCGATAAAAAAAAAAAAAGCTTTAACAGAATCTTTAAACATGAAATGTGTAATGATATCTTTACTGAGGTTGTAGTGATCCATTAATCAATATCAGTAGATTTCACTGGACATCAACTTATTGTTGGTCAACCTCAAAGAAAGCAGAGGGGTGGAGACACATCATCCCTCTGTTGTTGAAGATCGTTGAAATACGTCTGGGAAAGGCCATGGATACAATAAGTATACAGAGTCCTCACTAAAAATCGTAAAATGAAATTCCCAGAGTGACGACTCACTGGAGAGAATTGGACCTTATGCTGGTGAAACTGTTCACTGTTTCTACACACTGATTGTTTTTGTATAATACTTTTCAGAATGTTGGCTTTTTGTTGACTTTGCTAACTTTAAGCACTTTTTTTACTTCAGAAACAAATGAGAACAAGACACTGATTGAGAGACTTGCCCTGATGTCGATGGAAGAGTCAGGAATTGACCTCACCGATGTTGACCCCAACACCGGGGCCCACAAGGGAAAATCAACAAGAGACAGCCCTGTGGAACCCGACAATGACCAACGGCAGATAGAAGGAGAAGTGAAGGACAGGTGGGGTCGCTCTGTTAAACGCCCTCCGACCCCAGACAGTGCTGACAAGGATGACATGAGGAAAGAAACAAGTGGTATATTTTTTCCCTACATCTACCCTTTTTCCAGTTAATCCCTTAACAGAGATTTTCTGATATCCTATTGATGTATCTAAACAAAATTCTTTAAAGAGCATTGGTAAAGATTCTCAAAACTAGCTTCGATGTTTACTGAATAGCCAAAGATATCATAATATTTACATGATCTGTGATAGAAGTTATATATATATATATTACTTCACAGCATTTATGTATTAATGGCACTTGAAGCACTGATTAGAAGAAGCAACTAAACATATGTAAGTTGAACTTCGACCCTAGTTATATTGTTTTTGTGTTATCAGTCCTCATTCATGGAGCAACTGTGTTAAAATGCTATGAATATGATTGCACATGACAAGATTTTCTGAATCAGAAAAGGGTTCATTGACTTGAAAGGCTGCTTCATAATATAACTGTAAAGTAGTTGTTCCTATGTACATTGTATATGGAGTTGTCATTGTGATGTAGATTTGGTGGAGCCTGTTAAGAAGACTTCGTCCTGTGGTACAAACACAGCAGACACTGGGAATCAGCCTCCCAAGATCATCATTCCACGTGTCAAACCAAAAGGTAGAATTGAAAGTCTGTAACTGGTATGTAAGTTCCTGGACAGTCCAAAGACGTTTTAGGTTATCTGACGCGAAGGGTCAAGATGACCTATTTATATCATGCATTTGTCCATTGTCGTGTACTGTGCACTATGCATCATACATACACTTCTTAGATCACTTGAGATGAAGTCTTAGTGTGGCCTTTTGTGTCATGCGTCGTACATCAGTGAACAATTCAACATTTTTGACTTCATCTCTGAAACCCTGTAATCCCTGACCTAAAATGAACCAAAATGTTGAATTATACTGTCCTCACCCCACAGGGCCAAAAAGGATCAAATTGATTCAGATCTCCAAACTCTTCTCAACACCCAGATATGGTAGAATCAAGTACTCTTAATGGATGGAAGCATTTTAAGGTACTTTACCAAAATTGTGAATTTCATGGCCCCGTTATCTCAAATTTCCCTGTAGGGAGGAGGTAGATTTACCATAGTTTATACAGGAAAAATACACTTTTGAGCATAATCTGTTTAATTTCATTTGGAAACATTTCAACTTTGGTTAGAATTTTGAGGGAAAGATGACGGCACCATGGCATGCCAATATTGATCCTATCTGACCCCAAACGGCTGATGGCCGGGGCCAAAAGTGGTCAGATTGTCTCAAATTTCAAAAATCTTCTTCTCAACACCCATATATGGTAGAATCAATTGCTCTTTAAGCATGGAAGTATCTTAGGGTGCTTTGATTACCAGAATGGGTCTCACATTTCTTCCTGGTGAGGAGGTTAACTCTACTGTAATTTTTATGGAAAAATTGCATTTTTGAGCATAACACTGATTATTTCCCAATGGAAATAACTTTTGTAAGAATTATTAGTATAGGATGACAGTTGTGATGGTATGCAGGTATTGACACTGGCTTTCTATCATCAATGTCACAATTTCTTTTTCATGACACTTGAAAGCTACTTAACCTTTAACATATATAACCAATATTGCTTATCTCAGGTGAGACAATAAAAAGATGAGGAATTTATCATTTATGAAAAAAAATTTCGTTGATTTGATAAATCTATATGCAAGTGCCGGCTTGTCCTGTACTGACGGAATTTTGAAAGGACTCAAAGAATTTCTAGAAATACCTAAATTTTACGTTGTTGGGTACAATATTTCTAGCAATAAAGTCGAAAAGGAGTTAATGTGAAAAAAGATTGTAGATTTATCACTTCCTCACCCTGCAGAATGTTGTTTGAATTTACAAGTTCAAGGATCAGAGTTTTAATGATGACAAGGAGGAAATGTAAAATTCAGTAGACATGAATGTATTAAATGAAATGTTAGTTAACACTGGTGAACGACAAGTGTCTTTGATAAGTTATTGTTTTTAACATTATTAAATTCTTCTTAGATGCAGACACGTCTCCAAAGAAGCAGGAGCCTGACACAGTTTTCCTGGACCTGAGAAACTTTGACAAGACACGACAAGAACAGCAGGAGAATATAGAGAGAGTGCAAAGGATTTTAAAAATCAGACCGGAGCAAAATGGGTAAGAATCATCAGGTTGTTTCTCCTGTCTCTCGGCTAGTGTTAAAAAGTAATGTCTCACTACGTAACTGTAGACAGTCTTATACAGAAAATATTTTTTTCTGTTATTTATTAAATTGTCAGTCTTGGAAAAGAGTTTGAAGTTGTGTATTTCCTGGCAATGTTGTTGGAAAAATATTGTGATGATCAAAATTTCCTGGGTAAGGTTTGTGTTTTATAATCAGAAAGTGTGATTTTTCTCTCACACACTTCACAGGTTGATTCTGTTTTTGCTAGGGAAAGAATAAATCTGTCTCGCCTGTGGTAGGGAAAAGACAACTGACATGTTCTATAACACTACACACAATTGGGTCGTATTATAATCTTATATTGAGTTAACCACGTTACAAGAGGATAACATCATCAATTTTAACACACATCTCACGGCCCTTTGATGATGGGGCAATGTATATAGCTCTTGATGATAACTTCAGATAGGTTATGGACTTTATTTGTGGGTTTGTGAGAGAAATAATCAAACACAGGTCTGTTCCATGGACAAGGATGTTTCAACCATCATGTAATAGTTTAGTTGCCCACCTCTCATCAAGTGGGCTGCTGTGGCCAAATGCTCAAGGTATCTGATGTCTCTTTCACTAGCCCTCCACCTCTGGTTACAGGTTTGAGGCCTACAACAAGTGTTGTGTTCAGACCAGCTAACCTCATACACTCAGGATAAAAGTTTCACTGTGCATTGAACAGATCCATGGAAGATTGTACTACTATTTTAATTGAATAAGTTTTTTGAACCCCCTTCTATGTCTTATACATGTGCCTTCAATTGTAATTTGTTACAGAGACTCGAGTGATGAGGATGAAGTGAGCGTTGACTGTTGGAGGGACGTCAGAAATAAAATAAAGACAAATCTTTCCTCTAAGGGTGTGTCTACTGAGGTCCTACCTGATAAACCCCAGCTCTCCAGGTAATTCCTACAAAGTCTTATATAAGAAAAGTGTCCTTCGTTAGGAACCCAAGATTCCACTTTGTTTCACTCCAGATCATGACCAGTGTTATACTCATTGTTTGGTGTCTTTATTTCAATGTCCGTTCTATAAGTTTCCAAGTACTTATATCTTGTTTCTTAAATCAGTAGTAAATGTGATTAAAACTCCAATCACTTTCATCTTATGTCAATCTAATTTCTCTCTAGAACTTACAAGGATGCCCGACAACCCCAGAGAGTTATCAACATGATTCCCCAGACACAGGGGCAGGGAGACAACCTCCCAGTCCCAACCCCAGGGGCACAAGATGCTGAGGCAGAGGTTAGGAGGAAAGCAGAGCAGGAAGAAAAAGAGAAGCGTAAAAAGATGGAAGAGGCCAAGTATGTTGTGAAAATTGTATCCTTCTGAAAAATTCGTCTGCTTAGTAAATCTTTTCAAATGTAAAAATTGTGTTTTCTGATGAATGAGGATTTCTTTGTAGTAATATTTTAAATGAGTGTTTTCGAAATCTGACATTAGGAGAAATACTGTGTACTGTGTCTATTACAGTATTAAAGTATTAAACCAAACTTTAAAGTAACATTATAGCTAGCACTGAGAGATACCTACTGCCTGCCGTTGGTTTAAAAAGATAATGGGGCATGACTATGGAAAACTCATCAGGTACTTGTTTGTGAAAGATAGAATTTTTTTATGGCAAAACTGATTTTTTTATTTAAGAATTCAAAATGTTCCTGCAAGGGCATCATTTGTTTTTTGCTCCTTTTTTTCGTAGAAAACTGCGAGAACAGAGAGAGTCTGAGCGACAGGCAAGAGTGCGTCTGTGTAATCGTCTAAACGCTCTTCGACCACAGGCTTCTGTCAGCGGGAAACAGGACTCAGCTGAGACTACACCAGTAGTGTTTGATATTGTAAGTGTAGTGTTACGTAAAGGAAAATTATGACATGCACATTCTGTGAGAACAAAGATTTCTGATTCTTGCAGGTCTGCAGGAAATATGATCATTATTGAGAAACAATGTCCGATAACAGTCTGAGTATAGACAGAGATCAGATTATGTAATCTATTTATTTAATTACTAGGAGCTAACAATGTTAACAGTGTTTATTTCACACAGTCTTAAATCATCAAAAGTCTTAGATACATTTTATAGATTTTGTGACTAATTTCCCGTGAAAGGAGATTTCACTGACTGTTGCATGTGTGAAAGTTGAGGGATGGAGATTGTTAATTTGTTCAATGATGTATAAGATATTTTTGTTTAGTAATTTAATCTAAGATACCTCCTATGATAACTAGGATGTTTCGTATGAGCCTGCCCCTCGCAGTCTGCCTACAATCATGCAGCCTGACCAGGAATGTCTACTGCTGACAGTACACTTGTCCAGCAATGGCGAAATTATCCTGCACCGCGGCAAAAATAAAAGTGTTGATACAGGTAGGTGGTGGTGACCTGATAAAAATAACGAGGCCTGAAAGTGTTGAAATTTGTCAGCTCACTCACAGAGTTGAGTCTAGTATGTTCTTGTCTATTGTAATGGTTCTTCACTCTCTCCAACATGTCACTTTTCCCTGGATGTTCTGGATTTCTCCTACAGTAAGACCCACACATGAACTTCTATCCAGGCCAATAAGAGTGATTAAGTTGGAATAAGTTTTGCAGTCTATTCACTTGAAATGTCCTTGCCTAAGACTTAGAGAGTTGACTTTCTAGGGCTGTTACACAGGATTAAACGTGTTGACACTGGTAGATTATTAAAGTCACTTAAGACATCTTTATGAAATGTGTTCGGTTGATCACATCAGGATAAGACATTGGCCAAAACGGTTTTATAGAATTTATGTCTGAAAAACCAATATTCATATTGGTCTTTGAAGTACAAAAAGTTTGCAGAAGTATAAATTTTAAATGTAAATTAAAAATTTATATTTTGTACAATAAAAATCTTCACTATGAAATGATATAAACTGTATGATAAGTTAATGTACAGTAGAGTGCTTTATTTCCAGTTTCATTCTGAAAAATTAATTTTTGAATTGCTGTAAAAATCCTGTTTTATAATCAAATGATCTTATGTATTATTGGTTTATTGTACGTAAAGGTATTGGATTGTCGGCCAGCTACACGGTTTTGTTGACATGGCTGATGTCCTTTGTACCTGACAACTATAACTTTCTCCAGCCACAAGTTGCCAAGGAAGATGAGGGCGGAGTCCAGTTTTTGGTCCCGCCCTTCTATGTGGTGGGCTTACAACAGCTTTGGCTTGATGAACAGCATGCTCTGGTGGTTGCTGTGACACCCACACAACAATTCCGTCACAAACATATCAAACACAAGAAGTCAAAGGTAAGTAAGAGGTATACATGTTATGTAGAGAAGGTTAGATGTCAGTTAAGAAATTTCATGTTAAAAACTATCAATTAATGAAAATAAAATCTTATAATCATCAACAAGAATATTGAATTTACAGAAGTATCATACATTTGTTTCTAGGTTTTGGACTTCAAGAATTATATTCTTTTTTGAACAGGTCAAAGATGAAGTAAAGGATAGCTCACCATTTCAACAACATCTTGCCAAATTTCTGTCTACCAACACCCTCCATACAGTTTGTCCCTGGTTACAGGATCTGGTATCTGGGGAAGTGCCATCATCACAGGTCGATCCTGCAACGGGAAGTCCCTCCTACATTTACCGTCCTCCGCTACCAAACATTACCAACAAACCATTGTCAACATTTATACAGATCAACCCTGACCACAGTGCTGCACAGAAAGTGTTCAACACTTCCGTCGGCTTCTTCTTCCAGACTGTAGACAGTGACGACTCTAGTGCTGATCTGATTATAAACGATAGTGGTGTGAATTATGATACACAGAATACAATGTCTCTTATTTATAAAAAGATTTTCCAGGATCCACGTGCCACTATGGGAATATTCAATCGAGTGTTACAAGAAGGCCTTGACCTGGCTGGTGTACGTTTATTATATCCAACCCCTGAGTTGCTCAACCTTGCCTCTGGTAAACCTTCCATGCCTACTGACAATTCTGAGGCTAAGTCAGATCTGGAAATGCTCAACAACATTGGACCTGTATTGGCTGTGTCTATCAGAGGAACATTTGGTCGGACAATTTGGCTGGATGCTGTTGGTCCCTCGGACCCATCCCTGGCCCGACGGACTGACCCAAACTCTTTGTGTGCATTGTATGGCGGAAGTTCACGGGATGAGTGTTTGTTGTTTTGTCCGAGGAATCAGAACCGTGTACACATCGAGCTTACACGCTGGTTTGGAGGTCGAGTGCCACCAGGTGGTGTTATAGATGTGGGAACACCGTACACCAAAAAGGATCATCATCGGAGTGGTAGTCCCAAAGGACGAAAAGGGAGAAAGGTCACATTTAATGAATTTAGGGAACGGGACGATAAACCTGTGGTTGTGCCAAGCAGACGACCTCCGGCAACATTGACCGCTACAACGAGAAGTGATATCTTCCTGGTCATGTCACCAACTGTTGGACCACGGTGTATAGGTATTGTAATGGCCACCTGTCAGCGCCGTGGATACCAGGTACGGGGCATCAGGCGATCTAGATTAACAACGAAGAAGGCTAGTTCTCTAGGTAAGTGTTTCTATGAAGTTGACACCATCAGACTCAAAAATCGACTAAAACCATGAAGGCTTAGTCTGTCACTTAGTGTATCTTTATAGTCACCACAATCAGACTTTGACTGTCACGATGTAGATAAGAATGTGGGTTAGTTACTCTGTAGTCATCATCATCAGATCAAAACATTGACTGTCAACGTGAAGACTTAGTCTGTGGGTTAGTTTCTCTGTAGTCACCACCATCAGATCCAAAACTTGACTGTTGCGATGTAGACTAAGTCTGAGGGTTAGAGTTTCTCTGTAGTCACCACTCTCAGGCCCAAAATCATTTAAATTGGCAGTGAGCTGTTAAAGAATACAACTTTTTACCACTAAAATTACGCAGCTCATCAATATCGCTTAAAATTTAAAGTCTTCCATTTGCTCCAAAATATTACATTTGAGTGAAAGTAGTTATCATTCACCTCCAACCCATAGAGTATAGAATCAGACAACATGTATCATGTAAAAAATACATAAATACAAAAATACAAACTAAAAATATTGTCTGAAATATTGTAAATTTTCAGATATATCTTGATTCTAATGATAACTCAACAACTTACTTTAAGTTGCCGTTTTTGATGTACAAGTGTAGTTGAATCCACTTCCTAGTATAGAGTTCAGAAAAACCGTTTTCATGAAAAAAAAAAAAATGTAACTAACTAGTTTCTGAATCTACTGTATCTTCAGCAAATATGCCCACTTCTTTATTATTACAGAATATCATTGATTTTTAATAATAAGCTAAAAGTAGCTTACAAATAAGTGCCCCCCCCCTCCCCCCTCTTAAATTTAATACTAACTTTTATCCAAGGGTGTTGGGGGGCTTATTTGAGGATTGATAATGTACAGAGCATTCGTGAAATCACGGAATCTGATTGATCATGGCAAATTATGACATACAGATGTATATGTGGTATGAGGTTGGTATTGATTTTTACGTGTATTGTCTGTATTTTTGTCGAGACAGGTAAAGCAGGATTATCAAGTGTAAAATGGAAACAACTTAAAGGCAGGAGAGATCTGTTTATATAAAGAATACATGGTCAATGTCTTAAAACATAGGCTGTATTTTGGCGAGGGTGAAGAGCAAAAATGTAACTTTTATTTTAAGACACTGACCATGTATTCCATCTATACTGTAGTATTGATTGGAAATCAGACAATCAAATGTTCAACAATTATGAATTTTGTAGTTTAAACTTTGTTTACTAGACATTGACGTGATGCTGAACTTTTGCCTGTTGATGTTAGTTGCTCCATGTGGAAATACAGCTCCAAACTTAAATGGATATGACAGGACTATGAACTGATCATATCAACATATAAAATGGTTTATTTCAACAGTTATTTATATTGTTTAACACAATAGTTAAGTAGAACAATGCTGAAATACAGCAGCTTTCCAACACTGCCGAATACAGCAAAAATATATGTAGCAGATGTATTCCAACAATGGCAGTGCCAGTTACAAAATTGAAATGTGTAATACAAATTCTCTATTGATTTAATAGGTATTGGGAGTGAGGCAGTGCCAATCTTCTGTCCTGGAACTCAGACTGTAGAAGGTGTGGAAGGGGCAGACTTTGTAACAGTCTTGTGTCCTCAGGAGAGAAACCAGGAGGCCCTACTGCCCTGTACACTACTGTTGCTGGAGAAAGAAAATGCTGCCCATCATGCAGCTAGTCTGATAGAGGCCTGCATGGTACAGCTCACATTACAGGGAGTTATGGGTAAGTCTGATAGAGGCCTGCATGGTACAGCTCACATTACAGGGAGTTATGGGTAAGTCTGATAGAGGCCTGCATGGTACAGCTCACATTACAGGGAGTTATGGGTAAGTCTGATAGAGGCCTGCATGGTACAGCTCACATTATGGGTAAGTCTGATAGAGGCCTGCATGGTACAGCTCACATTACAGGGAGTTATGGGTAAGTCTGATAGAGGCCTGCATGGTACAGCTCACATTACAGGGAGTTATGGGTAAGTCTGATAGAGGCCTGCATGGTACAGCTCACATTACAGGGAGTTATGGGTAAGTCTGATAGAGGCCTGCATGGTACAGCTCACATTACAGGGAGTTATGGGTAAGTCTGATAGAGGCCTGCATGGTACAGCTCACATTACAGGGAGTTATCGGTAAGTTTGTAAATTTTAGGCTTGCAAGAGTAAGTATCTATAAGGAGTTAAGTGTGTATCAATTAGACACATTAACGGTGAACTGTGTATCAATAAAACAGGAGTTGACTAGCTATAAGACACATTAGGAGTTGACTGTATATCAATAAGACACATTAGGAGTTGACTGTATATCAATAAGACACATTAGGAGTGGACCGTGTTTATCAATAAGACACATTAAGAGTTGACTTTAACTCTACTTCTTACCTTATACACTGTAGGTACTATACAGAAAACTGTGGACTTTCCAATCAACTCTAAACAGCTGTTTCACGCAGCACGGTTCTCTGATGGACTTCAGGCTGTTCTTGGAGGAGAACTCAGCAAGGTGAGGACATTTATAGGTGTTTCTGAAAACTGTCTGGTTTAGACAGAAAAGGAAGCTTGTGGTGAATGTTTTAATGCCTATTATTGTTGTAAACTGGTCTTGTATAACAGTTTAAATGGTCCTTATGTGGTACCTCATGTTCTCTCCTGTCCAGATATAACATTTATTATCATTAACATGAAACATATCAGTATTTTGTTTGTAATACAGTTTTACTAATTTGATATTAGGGTTATTATGCATTAGATTGTCTCGTTAATTACACAAAGCCGTAGAAATTCTATCTAATTCTGTTCTGAAGTTATAGTTAATTGGTACGAGGCTTTGAAAACAGATCCATAAAAAGAGGCACATCAGTTTTACTGATATTAAATCTGATCTTGCTGGATTTTATTTATTTGCAGTGTGTGGACTACGAGATCAGTGTAAACCCTAGCTTTGTTGTACCTAAACTCTACACTAATCCCGAGGTAGAGGAGGTTGTGGTCCTCCTTATACTGGGTCACAGTAACCTGAAGAGTAATGGTCTGCTTGTTGGTAAGTTTATATAAAACATAGAGCAAACTAGATTTACATCAGGTATAAAAAAAGATAGTGATAAACATTAATCTGTTCTGAACACATGAAGCTAGTTTCCTGTAGTACAAACCAAAACTTGTATGTCCCAATCAGGTGAAGATATTGTGTATATTTTTTGCTGTGAATATGGATACCTAAAGGTAGGTTGATTTAGAAAGACCTAAAAGACGAGACCAAAAAGACCATCACTATATTGATATCACCTGAATTTATTTTTTTTTAACAGTTCAGCGGTTTTCTTGATAAAACATTTTCCAAAGTCCATGTGAAGAACAGATCCAATGCGAGACATATAAATTCTCTCACTCTTAGAATGTACGATGAGACATGACAATAGTTGAAGCATTCTGAGTTACACGAGATTTGTCGAGTGGTGTGTTAATTTGAGATTTTTCTCTGCAGAGTCTACCCACTTTATGCCCAATCATGTCATTTGTCCCTGAAATGTGTTGTAGGATACAGCATCTCTAAACCCCTTACTCATATCCCAGGTCTCATTAACGACAGTTTGCTTTAACTTTCTGAAATTAAGAATTAATGTCTGATGCACTTACAAAAAAAATGTCAATTCAGTTTGATTAAAAATGCGTTTTACCCTAAAGTCAGACTTTGCTCTCTAGAAGTTGTTAGATGTAGTGCTAACCTACAGAGCTATCAGAGTGTTCATGTGAAAAAGAAGATTTTCTTTGGATCACAGAAAAACTACAAGTTTGGGAAGGCGAACTGTAAGAGTTCAAGGTTACTGTTTTTTTTGTTTTGCTTGTCTTCAGGTCAGCTGCTGAACATGGTTCCGTACAGTAAGACTCCCATCAGCCTACCCTTGGCTGAGGGATTTGAGTTACTGGGAATTAAGTGGGTACCCTCACTGACCCTATCTCAGGCCAAAGAGGTTACACCATATGAAGTTGGGGACCGTCAGTGGAAGAAAAATATACATACACTTACAGATGGTAAGTATTGAAAGAGTGTAGCGGGCTTTGTAATGACACCAGTGACAATAGTATGTTTTACACCACTTCATACTAAAATTTAGGTTAAGTTATCTGATAAAATATATACAGGTCTGACCGTTTCATTTGGAGGAAAGTTTAAACATCGCTCCATGAATGATCTCCAGTTCAGTCATAATTTACATTAATTTTATGCTCCCTGAAGGTAGTGTATATAGTCTCTGCTTTGTCCGTCCATCCATCCATCATAATTTTGTCTGGAGCATTACACAAAAACTACAAGAGGTGTCAACATAAGACTTCATAGGTAGATAGGTCTCAACAAGGAGAAGAGCAGTGCACCAGAACATTCACTCTCTAATTGTCCATTGTTGTTTTTCATACTTAAATCTTTTTCCCAATCCAGGAACATAACCTGTCTGTGACAGACCTTGCTTTTTTTTGTTTCAGAACCTGCACTTATTCTAGTCCTGAGAGGAATAAATGGTTTTGAGAAATTAAACTCAGTTATCACAAACCTGTCACACAATCCACAGAATAGTCACATAGACTACTTAATGTCTCAAACACCAGAGGAGGCATACTCATTCGCCCGCTCATTCTTCACCGAACGTGAACTGTTCGCTGATCCTCAGTCAAGGTCACTCCTGCCATATCTACCAAGTATTAAACACTTCACACAAGGAAAGGACAAGGAACGGTGGGTATATTTGATAAAATAAAATTACTGCTAACTTTATAAATTATATGATCAAGATGTAAATCACAGATGTTTGTCTTCAATATAACAAAAGAGAGGAAATATCTGTCAATGGAAGTTTTCAATTTTGTTTTGTGTCCTTACAACATTACGGATTATATGAAGACCATTTATGGTGGTGCCACATTAAAGCCATTTTATCATAGGAGTCTAATTTGTTTGTCTAACGATTGATTAGCTCATCTGTAGTGTCTCAACCATTAATAATGACATAAGTGTGTTCAAAAAAATGTAACAGAAAAGTAAACGTCAAGCTATAAAGAAATTGAGGAATACAAAGGTAATTTTTTGTGTTTCATAATGAACATTATATATATAAATATTGATGTAACTCTACTTGTATAAATTTAAAGAGGGCTATCATGAGAAGTATTTTTATCATCATGCCTTTTGTTGGTAATCGTTTATGTCTGATGTATATACCATGTTTGTGTATTATATAGAGGAACAACTGTGATAAAGGAGTCCATTTTCGACCTGATGCAGCGAGGACCACAGTCATTTACAACTTTCCTTCTTATCAAACCCCGAGCTGTGCGACGGCATTTGTCAAAAATCCTCAAAAAAATAGTGCAAGAGAAATTCCACATCACAGCATTACGTTTTTGTGTTCTGGACAGAAGTCAAGCTATGTCCATACTGGAGGAGAAAGATATGGTAGGTTGATGGTAGTTATGGCAGATCGATGGTAGTGAAGGTAGGTTGATGGTAGTTATGGTAGGTTGTTGGTAGTTATGGTAGGTTGATGGTAGTTATGGCAGATCGATGGTAGTGAAGGTAGGTTGATGGTAGTTATGGTAGGTTGTTGGTAGTTATGGTAGGTTGATGGTAGTTATGGCAGATCGATGGTAGTGATGGTAGGTTGTTGGTAGTTATAGCAGATCGATGGTAGTGATGGTAGGTTGATGGTAGTTATGGCAGATCGATGGTAGTGATGGTAGGTTGTTGGTAGTTATGGCAGATCGATGGTAGTGATGGTAGGTTGATGGTAGTTATGGCAGATCAATGGTAGTGATGGTAGGTTGTTGGTAGTTATGGCAGATCGATGGTAGTGATGGTAGGTTGATGGTAGTTATAGCAGATCAATGGTAGTGATGGTAGGTTGTTGGTAGTTATGGCAGATCGATGGTAGTGATGGTAGGTTGATGGTAGTTATGGCAGATCAATGGTAGTGATGGTAGGTTAATGGCTGTTATGGTAGGTTAATGGTTGTTATGGAAGATGTTCATTGTAGTTACGGCAGATTGATGGTAATTAAGATAGGTTGATGGAAGTTATGATAGGTTGATGGTAGTTATGGTAGGTTGATGGTAGTTACAGTAAGTCAGTGGTAGTTTGTCACTTAGCAGGCCTATGTATTTTTTATAATTTTTTTCTAACTAATGATCCTCATTGCATAATTCAGATGGTAGTGGTTAGTAACATTGTTGAAGAATTAAAATCAAAATAAAATATTTGATAGATTTAGTCTTAAACATTTTTTATATTGTGTGGGATATTCATAAACGTTTGTTCCAATACAGGCCTTATGAATAGCTTCAAACCACACAGACCACATCTTGTTATACCTAGTTCTGATGATTTTATTTCCAGGATGGAGACTTGTTGGAGAAACATCTATCCTACTTAACATCTGGCCCTTGTGTATACCTAACTCTGGAACGTGAAAATGCTGTCAAGTATTTGCTAGACCTGTTGGGTCCAATGGATCCCCAAGGAGCTAGACGACAGAGTCAGTTCTACTGGAGGGGCGTGTTTGGTGTTGACCCTGTACTAAATGCTCTTCATGGTAATGTGAATCTGTACATTTCATATGTCAGATGTTTTACACTTAGTTATTCAATGAAGAAGAGTTCATTTCAGATGCATGAAAATCTGTCAGAAAAGTCTGAATTTTCTGGTGAAGTCTTATTGTATGGAATTGATCACTGAAATTGGTAATTGATCATAATTAGTAACATTTAGTGAAGAGAAAAAGAAAATTTTGAAGATTAAAAAGCATACTATGAATTTTCAGGCCAAATTTTTATAGGTATAATCACTATTATGGACATTTAACATTGACTTATCATAATGTTGATTAAGCTGGACAATGTAGATAATGCATGAGTTGTTCTATCTACAGCATCAAAAGATTACCTCACTGCGGTCGCAGAGCAGAATTGTTTCTTTCCTGAGGGCCTCTGCTGTATGCCCATGCCAAGTTTACAGCAGGATGAGGTACAGTGGATTTCATAATAACACTATTAATTTGAGGAAAAACTTAAGTTTTCTACTGTAAAGTTATATATTTTCATGGGATTCAAATGTTGTTTTACAAAATATACATATTTGTTGACACTCCATCATTTTGTGGGTATATATTCCTTGATTCAGGTTACCTGTGAATTCAGCGAAATTAAAAATCCCACAAAATTAAGGATTTTACTGTACCTTGTATTTGATATGGAATGGCTATGATGTGTTTAAAGTTTGACTTCAGAAATTCTCATATTTTCAAGTTCAGTCAAATTTAGAACTTATAACTGCCTGTCTTCACCATTCAACACAATTTAAGTAGAAATATATAAAGTATTTTAGGGAGATAAAGATCCTGAATCAGGAGAAGATAACTCCAGTTGTTTTATTTCTTATCTCATAGTCCTATTTATCACGTACCTACCATCCTGTCCATGCTATATAACACCTATTACATATTAAATAATTGCTATCACACTTGCTTAAAAAGTTACACTCAACAAAAACCTGAGTATCTAGATAAATACTATCAAAGCTTGAAATCAAATGTTTAATGTTTTAGATCAAATGTCCAGCAGAGGATACAACTATAGCAGTGAGGTTTCATGAAGAGAGAGATGTTTTGGTGCATGATAAACATAATGAAGGTGATGACAAACTCACAGGTATGTAAATTATAAGTGATTAACACAGAGCATTAAATCAATAACTTCTTGTTTACCTGTCTATCTAGTTATGTAAACATTTTAACTGATCTTACCTTTATTTCAGATTCCATGCACCAGCTGTTGCTGCAGACAACATGTATTGTGTTAAAACCTGGTCTGGTGCGGCCAAAGGGCAAGAGAAAGTGTGGATACACAGACATTATAGATGGACTCCTCACTAACGGGTATAAAACTTTATGTTGACAAAACTCTGAACAGTATCCTTATGAAAATCCTTTATCAAATTTCTCTGTCATTTTAAGATAAAAACAAAATAATTCACCTGTGTCGAGAGTTTATTTCGGAGATAATGATAAGTTACTCTTTCAGAAGTTGTTTTCATGTCCCAGGATTGAAATCGAGAGAAGAAAAATATGAGTTGTAAGGAAAATACATTATTGGATATTTCAAGTTTTCAAGCGGTTGTGTTGTCTGTGCACAGGTTTGAGATTGTTGGTGCCAGGATGTTGTGGTTCACACAGAAACAAGCAGAACACTACTTGCATGTGATACAGGCTGGCAGCTTTCAACAGGTATGTACTAAAGATCTGTAGTTAGAAATCTCATGTAGTATCAGATCAATACCTTGTAAAGAAGGACACTGTGTCTGGATTTCAACTGTTATCAGATTACGCTGACATGTGAAGAAAAATATGATAGTAGATAATTTCTCTCCATTACATCAGAAACAAGTTGTTTCCCTTTTAATCATACATTTTAATAATCAAGGTTTTGTCAATTATCTATGTCATTTTACCTTGGCCACAAAATTTGGTCATATTCTGTGACCAAATGACAAAATTCTAAATTTCAATTGATATCAGAAAAAAGTATCATTTTGGATTATCTTGATAATTGATATCAAAATATACCACAAAATATACTTGTTTATTTCAAACTTAATAATTTTATGTGCCACTGTGTTTCTGAGTTGATGTGCCAGTCTAACACATATCTTCAGGCACTTAAATGTTTGACCCTGGGTAGAAATGTCATTGTCAGTTTAACCTTTTCATGACCTTTCATGACCTTTTCATTATGCAGGTACCCTTGTTGACCTTTCATGACCCTTTCATTATGCAGGTAACCTTGTTGACCTTTCATGACCCTTTCATTATGCAGGTACCCTTGTTGACCTCCGGCCCTTGTATAGTTTTAGCCCTGGAGAGAGATAATGCTGTCATAGCTTTTGACTCCTTAATGGGAAGGTAAGTTCAGGAGGTTGTTTCTTTTTTGCAATTCTAAATCTTTCCTTCATTCATAACCACTCTTATAGTCAGATTAAGAAACAAAGTTAAATTTAGATAATTTTTCTGTTTAGCTTTCAGCTGAAATGTTATATTGAGTCCACTAATTTCATTGTGTGTCTTTCTGGTTTTCAGTAGCTACGGGTCAGACTCTCTGATAAGCCAGTATGGTGAGGATATTACCAGGCCTAGTGACCTTACTCAGGTAATTTGTAGACCTTCACAACTTTAATGATTAGTTAGTCTCAAAGCTAAAGGATCTAGGTTCAACATCCCAGATTGTTGAACAAAAAGACCAGACTACATTTCATTTCAGCCAAACTCACTCAATTTTATCTAAGAAAGAGTTTGCCTTGTGTTCTTAATTCTGAGCATATCATTTTGTGTACTCTCGAGTACTATTAGTATTATCAACCAAATGATTTTAGACAAAGAGTTGTTCCCCTTTGCATATACTTCACCCTATTTCATGTCAAAAAATATTAAACCTGAGTTGAACAAAAGGCAGAAATATCGGCTGTTTAAAATTACAAAAAATATTGTTAATTGTTGCTTTTGACTTTTCACAATTTATGACCAGTAAATGAAAATGGAACACATGAAATTTGCAATACAGAAATCACATGTCTTTTTATGAGGCAAAACAAAAAACTGATATCGGTGTTTTCCAACTATCCGTATTTATTTTGCTACTAAATAACTCTAAAATTTTTGTGCTGATTTAGCTGGCAATCTCATGCAGCACTAGTACCCTGAGGCAAATTTACCACAGATATTTTACATATAATTATACAGACCAATATTAGGCATCAGTGACAAGTATACATCACTTATACATCTCTCCTGAATGTGATAACTTTTCATTGCTTTGACATATATTAACCAAACTTCTAATTTTTTTTTTTTCTTTTTTTGGTAATTTTTTTTTTCTTACCATCCCAATGTTCCTTCAAACAAGTTTGAGGGGATAGTACAATCTATATAGGATTCAACATGTCAATATGGCCATTTGTCCAGAACCTTATAAGGGCAACTTCTGCAATACTGTTTGATAGAATTCAGCATTTGCTAATACAGGAGATGCTGTTATTTGAGGATAAACATCTCATTATACACACATGTGACACTTGTACATACCTGACACATGGGTATAAGCATATGTAACAGAGGTCATTATCTATTTCGATGCCTCCACTAGGAATTGAACCCGTGACCACTGGCTTTCTAGTCTTAAGCTCAGTCAATCGAGCTAAAGAGAAGTTCTCTCTAGCCGAGTGGTATATTGTGGCTATTATTTTACCAGGGTTACACATACCCTGATCAATATTATGGTACTTCAAAAGAAGTCTATCAAAAGCAAGCAAGAATTATAAAAAATCTTTTTAAATATTGTACAAAAAGATCCCTACCTATTGACCCAATGTTGTTTTAACACAGTATATACCACACAAACATTTCAGTGTCAAAGACAGGATATCATTTCATCTGTTTAGGTTTATAATATTTTTTATTTCTTCATAACCACTGCCATGAAGGATACAGGGGATATAGGGATGTTCCCACACATAAACACCAAGTTTCAGGGTCGTAGGGTCACGGTTAAGGGCGCTGTTATGTTTTTGGAAGAACTTTGTTAGAATCTATGGAAACTTCATTCCTGGAGAGATTTGATCGTAATTTACATTCTCATTAAGGACCATAATATCAGAGATGAGTTAACAATGTAAAGGCTTCACTCATTGGAGGATTTTGATCAAGCTTTACACAGTATATAAGGCTAAAGTCAAGTTAGCACAATGGAGAATTCGTATCATAGTGATGCCTTGTTTTTGTGTGTTTTGTTCAACTGTGTAACAAAAATGACTCCCTTTATATTTTTGCAGTTGTTCAATTTCATGACAAGAATATTTCATGATTATCGTTTCTTGTTACTGATAAACTTGGAAAATGTTTCTTGTCCTAAGATTTGATTGGAACATTAATCTGTGCTGTCCATGTAAATGTAAATTTTTCTGAAAAGTTTTTTGATAATTGATCTTAATTTCAATCAAGAAAGCATCCAAAAAAAATGTTGCTGTTTCTACTTGGTTCTAAAGTAGTGTTTGTAGGGTACAAAAAACATAGATATGTTTTCTAAATTTAGAAAGTGTACATTGTGTATGTTTATATTAGGAAACTGATGTCCTTGTCACTGTATGTAGTATGATTTCAACTAAGCAGATATATATACAGGTCTAAAATTTTAGACTGTGTTTGTTTCAAAGTGATTTTTACGCAGTTACTGTTTTCAAACTCTACAAAATTTCAAGGTTTTTGCTTTTAATTAATCTAAGGTGACTGTATTAATGTTCTGCACATATAGACATATCCCCTGAATACTGTGACATAATCACCAACATACAGGGTGTTCCTCCTCTACTGACTTATATAGTGTTTAGATAAAGTAGGACACGGAAGGAGGCAGAAGAATTCACAATATATTCTCAGATACCAGATAAAAATTCTTCAAAAACTTTTTCTGCATACCAGCCAACAAGAAGCAGTTTTGTTAAATGACAAACTGAAAGCTGAAATCAATTCTAACAATTTATTGTAGATATTATATTGATAATCCTTCTTAATGAAGAATATTTTTTAATATTATGTTAGTAATTTATCAAATTAGTATTATATTCACTACTTTGATTGTCACTTTCAATTAAAGACATAGGTAAGAGAATAGAATTGCAGATGAAGTATATATGTCAGAAGGATGATTCACATTTCGTTTTGTTAAATATTGATTTGAAATGAAGCTACTTTAGTGTGAGTTTTATTATAAATATTGACAAAAAACACTTGGTTAGAAACGAAACAATCTTCATATTGATGTACTCTAGAAGTTGAACACCATGATCAATGATCCTAGAGACTTGACTGATCTTGGATGTTGTGAGAGAACCAATTTTCGAGATATATTTCTATAGAATCCAGCAGAGGAAATTTAAAGGGGCGTACGAGTTATGAGCAAGGGGAGATAACTTGTCCCTAAGCTGCAGAACTCTATTATGATTTGGTGTCAGGTTGTAGAGAGTTGGTGATAAATAGTGATGATTTAGTAACTTACTAGCTGGCTCTGCACCCAATACAAACAAATTTGACTGAAATGTAATTTTATGATTTAGGAACCAGGTCTAGTGCTCTATTCCTCGCTGCAGTTTTGACATGAAATATTGCATTTTGTGATTCATATTTTTGAAGTCTAGTGTTCTGTTAATGCGATATTTGTGCTTCCAAATTTCTTTTTTCTGAAAAAAACACTATTAATTCTATTCTTCAAAATGGACAACTCTTTTGAATCAGATTTGAGAAAAAAAAAGATGAAAAAAAAATGAATACGTTGTTATTATGAATATCACCTACTGAAAAGGAAAGCTTTCTATAAACATATTTCTTCACTAAGCTTATTTAAAAATAATGTAATGAAAATAATTTCTCATACTTATATGGAGCTGAGGTGAATATATAGTCATGCTTAACTGTTCCTTGCGATGTCGTTAATGTGAACAGTTTTAAGTGCCATTTCAGTGTAGTGTTGTATGACTGCCTGATTTGTTTGGATGTTTGACTTGTAGTTAAAGACATACCATTACTGATGGCATCAGGTGTGCTAAAATTACAATACCAATGAAGGATAGGCAACACCGCAAGGATTTCATTATAAATAGGAATCGGTTTTATTCAGTGGATGGCCCATGCATTGTGAGCATGCTTAACGCTTCTATACCTGCTGCACCTCCCAAATAGTGATCTGTTTAAAGTTGTCAAAGAAGCCATGTTTACATACTAGATAGAGTACTCAACAGGATTTCATGTAGGTGACTATCATTGATACTGCAGCATGCTGGTTACATTTTGATGTGTATGCTGTTTGTAAAGGACTGGTGATGAATAGGTATGAAACCAAGTCAGTTTTAAGCATTGAAATTCATATTATGTATTTGCACAATTTGTGTATTAAGACTAAGTCTACAGAGTAATGAGAATTTTCACTGGTTATGATGGAATCTGGACACTCACATTTCAGTGCTGTTTGTTACATCAGCAATTATTTCATTGTTTACTAAGTAAACACAAAACCTTGAAACAAAATATGTGTGGTAATGTTTGGCTGACTTGGTATCCGATTTGTCCTGCATACACACTCTAAATCCCACTTCACAACTCATCTTTATTTGTCCTTCTGGAAAAAGAATGTGTTGTCTGAGTGACAGTTTGGAAGCCTCCGGAAGCCTCTGGGCACACAAACCCTTCATTGACTCCCTGGTCTCGCGGAGAAATCAGATATTTTACAAACAGACCAGGAAATTAGAATATTTCAATTTGTTATATAGGACAGTAGCCATTATTTTGAAATCCACTGAGGGTTTCACATGTTGTCCTGTTTTATTGAATCCAATGGTATATAGATACAGTATATTCTTAAATAAAGCTGAAAACTTGAGATTTTGAAATTTAAGATAATGAAATTTTACGTAATTCTATTAAGATACCCAGTCTCATGATGTCCTGGTGATTATTAAGTGGAACATATGTTGGATCTTTTCAAGAAGTGATGGAAACTTTGGAGTTAGGGAATTTCAAATAGTACCAATCGAGGTTCATTTCAAGAAATATTGTATAACAGTTAATATGTTCCAATAGAATATTCCTTAGATTTTTATACATACCTGGATATGGTTCCAGCTCATTTTATTTTTTCCCTGTTTTTTTTTTTTTTTTTTTTCGTCTTTTTAAAATATTTTTTTCTGTGATATACTTGAGGTGAATTTAAGACAAAATTGGCATCTCACGGCAATGTTAAATGTTGAAAGTTCTGATATCATGATCAGACTACTTTTGTAGCTGGTTGTTTCAACTGTACTCCACTCAACCTAAAAACTTTATGCTTTTCAAAGATTAAAGGCTGTTGTCAAGTTTGAACAATTCCTTTTATCATACAAGCATTGCAATGAGTAAAGGGATGTCACTGTTCACTGTTGAAGCTAACTCATGTATTTGTGAACTCATTATCTTTCAGGACAAATTACTGCCAAATTCACACCACAGATCAGTAATGAAAAATAGTTTATTACGGTATTGGTTGAGGGCACTAGATTCTTTGTTGAATGGCCTATGGGCCGATGTTGACTGCCTGATATATGTGACTGGTGCGACTTTAATCTC